GTTGCAATTTTTGTCCTGAAGGCTCCTCCTGACTCTCTAGACCAGCGGTTCCCAACCTGGGGATCAGGACCCCCTCGCCAAAGCTTCATAGGGGGTGGCCTTTTTGATTTTAAGGTGTGCTAAAAAACTTGAAAAATATACACAGCAGGCCAATATCTTAATAGAACACTTAAGGTTGGGAACCACTGCAATAGACCATTTTTGTGAAAATTAGTAAATGTTAGCATGCTGATGCACTAATACAAGGATTGTTAACATAACACAACCTCTGCTGTAGATTCTCAGTCTTTGTAAACACTAATCTTGGCCTTATGTTGTTCTACAGCCACAGAGCAGCCTCCTGAGTGGATGACAGGAAGATCTCAGTCTGACCTTCTACTGTAAGTCCACTGTTTGGACAAAGTCTCAAAGGCCTTAGCCACACTATAAAACTAGAGGAGTTAGTTCAAACCAGATTGTTTGAGGGAAAAGATTGCCTTAAACCATTTAAATGTATTCCCTCCAACAATGTAAGCCTAAAATAAATATTTGATTTGAGTACAAATAATTCACTTATTGTTAAGTTAACTTATCAGTATTATGTAAACTCATATGCATTATCTCCAATCTTATTTAAAGTGTGTTATTTATCTGAATAAAGTAGCTTTAATGCATCTTCTTCATACTAATTTTACCACCTAAATGGAAATTACTAAATTATTAGATTACCTGTGAAAACAGCTGACGTATGATAACGTTTTTACAGTTCATTTTCGTACTGCACTGTAAAAACAACAACAAAATCACATAGTTGTGTCCAGAAATATGTTTTTTATCAAAATGTGATGAAAAAACAAAATAATAATATAATTTATATCATATTTATTATCAATTATTATGGTTTATTGTCTTCTATAACCTTTTAGCTGAGATTGTACAGATTTTAGGGTTATGAATCATTTCCAGATACTCAAATAAATTACATTACAATATGCAAAAATACTAATGTAGTATTTCTATTGCAGAGTTCAAGAGTTAAAAGATAGGATTTTCTAGAAAATCTTATGTAATTTCAGGAGCAGCATAAACTGTTTATGTACGGTGCAACCAGACTTCCTAATTCTCAGCAGTGACAAACCTAAAAAAAAAAAACACTAATTATTCTTTACCAAAAAAGTAAAGCTAACCAACAATCCCTCAGTTATCCCTGTTTATAAATCCATGCTGCCACTGGGGCATGAAAGCCGCTGACTGACAGTCTTGATGGAGACGTCATGTGAGCTGGCAGCGGTTCAGGGCCTCTGAGTGTAAAAGCTGTTCCCTGCGTTCAGAGTGAAAAACCTGCTTTGTGCTAAATCAAAAAGCCCTCGCTGGTTTTCCTATTCTCCTCTGGCTACGTATCTCTGTGACAGCGGTTCCTGGAGCCAGACCCTCGCCACCAACCCCAAACCCCACCCACCCTACTCCCCCCTCTCCTCTCAGTTGTGTCCATTAGCAATCCAAAGGGGGAGGTTTTGCTGGAAACAAACAACAACAAACAAAAGACCAAAGTGGGGCGAGGAGTGCGGACGGGGGTGCAGAGGGAGAACTTCTGTGTGAAATAATTGCGAGGAACAATTTCAAACAGATGTCTGTTTGGACTTGGCCCTGGGCTCGTGTCCCCGTTAAATATAGTGATTTGATTGGAAAACAAGCAGTGTGAGATGGGCTGGCAGCCAACCGGACCATTCGGGGGCTCTCTAATGACCCCCAAGGGTCGAGGGGTCGCCGGAGTAAAAGCAGATCAGAGAGGATGTGGGGCCGGCAGCCAGGACAAGGCCCATAAATCTAGCCCATTCTCAGAGGAAGCTATCTTTTTTCACTTGCCATCAGAATTAAAATACAATCACAATCGTCACATTGTGCTCCCGCCAGTGTGCAAAGGTTATAATTCAAAGCTAGCAGACAGAGCTGGGAGGTTGGGCTGGGTGGTAGTGGACTTTTGGGAGAAAGGGCAACAGGGGTTGTGTATTTTAGGCTCAATGAGAACTGCCGATCAGGGGGTTGTGGGAAACTCTCCTTCAGGTCCACATATTAAAATCTTTGATGACTATAGCTGGAAAAGCGTGATATTATTCATAAAAGCAAGCGAGAGTGCAATCTGTGTGTTAACTTCCACCAAAGAGTACTAGAAATGTTTATTCCAGCCCTTCACAATCACAGCATTTCATGAATGGAATGCATTATTGCAGTGGGAAACAACATTTGTGAAGGCGAAATCTCTGATGGCATAGCTCAACATGGAGTTTTTCTTCCAATTTTCAGCCGGCTCAGCGTTTCACAGATGTGTTAATGTGTAGTGGGACAGCTGCACTTTATGGCAGAATGGCGCAAGATGATCAGGATCATTTTCATCCCTGCTGACCGCTGAAGGAACACACGTGCTTTTCAGTTCGTCGAAAATAAAAACTTCACCGGGGCTGCCAAAGAAAGACAGAGATATTTCTTTCCCGCAACAAAGGGCTTAGTCAGACTTTGACTGAGAGCTGAGATCAGTGTTGCACAGCTCTGATACGCTCTCTGCAGGGGAGGAAGTAAAACCGCTCTCACACACACACAGGCCAAATTTTCTACAGAGTGTATGTACAACAAATGAAGATATACTGACTGTTCTCCTAAGCTTATGCTTCAATTCTAAAAGTGCAATCACCATATAGATAACATCTAGCACCACTAGGGGTCGCCAAAGCTTCATGGAGGGAGTCATGAGGCCTTCCTGGTTTTAAAGTGAGTAAGAAAACTTGGAAATTATACACAGTAGATCTATATTTCTTAATCTGGTTCACTTCTGTGAAGAAAAGTAAATTCTTAAAGATTATTTTAAAAATACATAATACAGACAGAGAATTGTATAAAAAGTTCCCTAAACTGGAAATATATAATATTGTTTTACACAAACTTCCTGCACAGTTCCCTATTTTGGTTCATTGTACAGTTTTGAATATAATATGAAATATCCATAAAATACTTAGTCAGGGGTTGTTGGTTTAGTAAACGTTATAAAAGGGGTCCCTTAAGGAAGAAGGTTGAGAGCCACTGAGCAGATAGTCTGTCTGGTTGGTCGAACAAATGACTACAAACAAATGATGTAACACATTTAAATATTAAGCTCAGTACTGATGGGAACAGCGCTGCTTTATGATTAACACCTTGACCTGAAAGTCAGCCACTGGACACGGCCAGACGCATGAAAGGTTAACCAACATTAAGAGGGGCTAAAATACAGTAAGCATTTTCCAGGACAACGTAGATTATTCCCAGTATATTTGGTTATTTTAATACATTTCCAGGACGAGTGGGAACCCTGTTTGGCTTCTTGCCAGTAGGAACAATTATTTTTGTTGTTTTGGTCCATTTTGAGGACATTAAGAAAAATATAGAACAGCACCAGCCTTATTCCTTCATTGTTCATTTATTGTAAATGTGCTTCTCATTGTTCTATTTGTTATTTTTTTTCTGTTTTCTTAATTTCATTTTATTTAGTTTTTTGTTTATCTTTTATTAAATACTATCATTATAGCTGTATTTTATTGTCATTTTTATCATTGCACTCTATTTTTAAACCTACCTTATTTCTTTTTTACTCCATTCTTTCTTACTATTTATAGTCTGTGAAGCACTTTGAACTGCAGTAAACTGTATTCAATGGTTTTACAGATTTGATTAATTGATTATTCGTCAAAACATTGCAACTGAATTAGTTTGAAAAAGTGTCTCTCCTCTTCTGGATTCCTTCAAGCAGCAATTTACTTAGATTAGAGTGAACTGTGGGCGAGTTGCATTGTGGGTACTGTAATTTTACTGTAATCTGACACAGTGACGTGCTTTCACTTTCCAAACTGCACATTATGAAGATGTAGTCGCTCTGTACTCAGCGATAAGCAGACGTTTAATGTCCTGCTCATTCATTTGGACCTTGTTGACTCTCTATGCTGAAAGTGCAGATTTCAGTCATCTACATAAACCCGTATGCATTTCAGGAGGTCGACCCTGTTTGAGACAGAATCTACACCGTTGGTATCTGTCCACAGCTCTCTTTCACTACAATATGCTATAGGTGGGACACACTTATCACCAGAATGACCTTTGACCCCCAAAACATGACCTTTTGAAGATTGCTTTCAGCCATGTGTTGCGGTGCCACACATACTTTGGGCAAACATCTGACTCAGCTAGCTTCTTATTTTCCATTTTTCAGTGGTGGAAAGTAACTAAGTACATTTACTTCTTGATTTTCTGCTACTTTATACTTCTGCTCCCCTACAATTCACAGCCAAATAATGTACTTTTTACAATATATAACATATAACCAACATAAGAATTATGATGCATTATTATGGATAAACATATGACACTAATGATTTCTTGCCTTCACAGATGAAACAGCATTGGGCAACTTTGTGAATCTTTTTGTGAATTCTACTGCTTCCAGATGTAAATCTGCATTGCCGAAAAATGCTGTCCTGTGCTGTAGATCATGACATTCAGTGTTATCTTGTTTCACTTAAAGACTAAGATATTAAAACCAAACAGATGCTTGTGGGGAATTTTTGTTGTCTATATGCCGTCTCTCCTCAAAATTAGACATACAATCTCTTACAGATGTTTGTCACTTGTTGTGCCATCTGTCTGTCTCCTGAGGCTGAGGACCTGCGCTCAGACAGGCCAGAAAGCAACATACATATTCAGGAACAGGACCCACACCTCCCTAATCATCACGACCCATCTGCAGCACCCCAACAGGAGCTTGTGTGTGCGAGTCTACGTACAATAGAAAGGGTCTGTTGACCATTCAAACCTCAGATGACACCACAAATCAGACTCTCCATCATCCAGTGAGGTGGAACTTCTTGGATTTGGTGACTCTTCACTTATAACCATCTAACCAGCTTTGTGTTATTTTGATGTTATTTTGGGTCGATTTGATTGATGTGCTTAACTCTAAGGGGCTTACAAGACATCAAAAAATACAAAAAATACAATTGCAGTGATCAAACATTTTATTCCATTACAAATTATACATTATCATATTTTTCGGTGTTAAAATATTCTGCTTTCTCTCCCAGGTTTGGCACAAAAAGTTCTCTGCAGGGGAGACTCCCTTCTTAAAGCACAATTCCAGGTTTTCATAATCATCAAGCCAAAAGAAATCATCATAAATGGAGGACATTTTACTAAAAAGAACATCCCTTATGTCCTCGGACAGGATGGCAAAACAAAAAGTGAGCCTCATTCTCAGTTTCACTTTTAATGCAGTGATTAATTTGATATGACAAGTATCCAGTAGCACGAAATCCAAAGGGAAGTTAAAGTTTGCTTAAACATGATTTTTCTAAAAAGGAACCAGTTAAGAATAAAACATTACATTGCTATATTATTATATGGGCAATCACTGACCCTGTGGAACACATAACCCATGGGTTTCATCATTTCTTTGCTTATGGCGCCCTCCAGTGCTTGATACAGGTACAAACATCCTTAAGTAATAAAGAAGACTACTGTGCTGTACTTATTGTAAATATGTATGTATTTAATGTGTGTATCTTTATATTCTACGTTAGTAACTATGGCATGTTAAAAAAAATGCAGCTTAGTACAATGTACTTAAATTTTAGGACTACTGTAACAACTTGTACACATATTAGTAATATGTGTACAAGTACAAGACAGTAAAATACATTCTCACATGGTTATGTTACAGTACTTTTTTTTCAAAAACTATTACAAAACTCAACGCTCATCATTGTTTTTCATGGAATGTCAGAAAAAGACGTTTGAACAAAATCACTTAAGTAATGTAAAACATAATGATAAAAAAGGTTAAAATAAATTGTATTTCAAACATCATATCAGTAGTACCATAGAATCCAAATAAACACAAAAAGTTAAAAAAAAATAAAAATCAACAAATCCATATCTATTAAAGTAAAAAAAAAAATGAAATACAAGAAATGAAAAGTAAAAACATCATCATCATCAATAATGGAAAATGCAGAATCAAAGATACAATACATAAAACATTGTAAATTCCTACATACTTGTATTTCCCCAACAGTAAATGTATGATGCAGGTTATTTCATTTCATATCACATTAATCAAGAACATGACAAAAGGTTGAATCCATCTTCAAATGTCAGGTAATTTCATTATTTCATTTCATTATTAATAAACAGTACACATTATAACAACATTTTTAAGAGGTTTGATTTTCAGGTTATACTTGACAAATGATTTCCTTTACAAAACAAATTTCTGAACAATGTAATAAGATAAGATAGACTTTATTGATCTCACAGTGGGGTCACTCTGGTAGTCTGGCACCCCAGGTACCAAGCATGAGTCATTGTTGCAGCGGCCATGGGTTCGCGTTCAACCTCTGGCCCTTTGCTGCTTGTCATCACCTCTCTACACCCTTCCTGTCTATCTTGATCTGACTTGTTAATAAAGGCAAAATATATATATTTTAAAATAACACAAAACAATGTAATGTACACAGGCAAGAGTACACAAAAATGTATCACAGCATTACAGCAACTCAATCCCTTTTCAAAGTATACAAGGGTGTATGAAACAGGTGGATCTACAATGAGAAGCGGAAAATACAGTACAGTTGGTACAGGCTGCGTTCATAGTCTTGTTCAGGGGTCACCAACCTTTTTGAAACTGAGAGCTACTTCATGGGTACTGAGTCATACGAAGGGCTACCAGTTTGATACACTCTTCTGAAATAACAAATTTGCTTAGTTTGCCTTTAGTTATATATTATTTTTATTATTAATGATTAATGATACTCATCTATGTGAAGACACTGATCACGTTAATTACTTCTCATAATAATTATCAACAATGACTTAACAAGGTGGGAAACAGATAATATCAATATTACATTTTCATTTTTAGAACAGGCCTGCGGGCTACTCAAGTGGTCCTTGGGGGCGACCTGGTGCCCGTGGGCACCGTGTTGGTGACGCCATGTCTAGTTAATGTCGAGTGCAAGGGGGCCTTTCATCGAGAAACCGATAAAGAATGACACTTTTGAGCCCTGAGCATGGCCACTAAGCTGACTTCGAAAAAATGGAGTGACTTCGACCTTCAGACCTGGGATACAAGTATCTGCCAGTATAAAGTCGTTCTGCACCTCGCCAGTGATCCTGCAAAGGAGCTCCTCCACTTTCTTCTCTTTCCATATTTTGCCATTTGCCCAAATGGAGGAAAACTGTTCCTGCCCAGCCATGATGCACCTTTCGATTTTCCGTAAGTGTACCAGTCTGTCATAGCCCTGCTTCTTCCCCAGGAAGAAATGGATAGTGGGCCACTTCCCATTGTACACTTCCTTCATCACTGTGTGATACGAGGTCCTCATCTGTGAGATGTACTTCCCCAGACTCCCACATTCTGAACCGGACAGGTATTGCTGTGGCCACAACAGCACAACTGCAATGAAGTGCAGTGGCAAATTATCATTTAATGGGATTGGCTCACGCAGAACTTGGCAAAGGAAATGCATTAGTTTCTGGTATGGCAAAATGAATTGTGATTCCAGTTTGATCTGACTCAACACAACATTGACATAGATGAAGTTGATTCTCTCCTTCACAGTCGAGTTATGATGAGGATGACAAACAAGACCATACTGCCGAGCAATCTTCTCCATTTTGTCAGGTAAGGTGTCATTTGAGAGACAATTCAGGATCCCAGAATAGGTATCAGCTTTATTCATCTCCAGGTATTGTCTTGCTTTGTGTAGTTCCAACATTATTTGCATTGTTTTATTCTTCAAAAGAGCTGCAGAGTCTGTCTTGCAAAAAAGCTCTGCATACTGTCTGAAACATCTGAAAACCTCCTTTTGGACTATTTGCTCTCGACTGTCTTTCATTCCAAATCTGGAGCCCAAGTTCACATAAAAGTTGTCAAGGAAGTCGAAGTTCACCTTCATCCTATATTTGAGGTTGTAAATTACATCCTCAAACTGTCTGAGAATGAAGTAGTAGGGTCTGTGTTTGCTGTGTCGTTGATCATGTCTCTCTACATCCTGAAGCTTTAGGTCTCCAGAGAGAACCTTACTCATTATGTCATGGCGGACATTGTGAGAAGAAAATATGGGGGTCTTTGCCAGCACGTCAATGACAAGAACTCCAACCTGAATTTCTCCCAGGCACCCCGATATATTAAAAGGGCAGTTGTCTGTCTTGATTTGTAATCGTTGAAGTGACTCCTTCTTTGCAAGGCTCTGTGTTTCCTTGAATGCACCTATTGCTGACTGAGCCATTTTGAGAAACATGTTCAGTTTGTCAGGACTAATAGGCTCTTCCTTGCAGTTTGCAATGGCATTCTTCAGCTCATGCTTGATAACCTGTGCGGATGTGTCTGCGATATATGAGCTGTCTTTGGAAAGATCTCTTGCTCCCCGTGCCCAAATTTTTGCCTCTGGGAAATCCTTCTTTCTTAGGTAATAGTATCTGGCTAGTAACTGAGAGACAACGGCATCTTTCTCAAATCTTTTTGATGCATTTTTTAGCACCATCTCTTCCAGTCCTGGGGTTTCAATTTCAATGTCTTGAATTAGTGGAGAGAACTTAGATTCATCATCCTGTGAATGATATCTCTTCACCAAAATTTGGTGAACATCTTGCAGGAGTTTGTCTTTGCCTTGTGTGCTCTCATAAAACGTGTTTGTGGTCAGCAGAAGGTCGGCAATATCAGCTTTGCTCACATTGTGTGTTTTTGTAAGTTCCTGCAAACAGTAGTTTGCAATACTTGGATGGATCATTTTCACAGCTTTGAATACTACCTTACTCTCAACTGAGCAGCTGTTAATTAAAGGTGAAAATTTCCCAAATCCTTCTTCAACTTTGATGGTTCCACAAAATGGTTTTGGTTCAAGACCAAGAAACTCCTCACATAGAGAGACGGAGAGAGAGGCACCCTTGCCGTATACATTCAACAGAACTAAAACAGCCAAGAGTTGTGCCTCTTTCTGACTGATGTTGAAGCTCTTTAGGGTGTTGCGGGCCACACCCTGAATGTACTCTGGTTTGAAGTTCTTCTTCATGATCATGAATCCATAGAAGGTTTGCGTATTCTTGTGTGTTTTCTCTATTTCTACAAGTTTTTCCTCAAACAGTTTCTGTTCCTTCTCAGTCAGATCATTTCCAATGAGTACTGTGTCTTCAGTTGCTTCATTCTCGTCAGTGGACTCTGACCTCATGCAGTTCATGAGAATTACCTGTGCAGACTTAGACTGAATGTCTTTCCTCACACATTCTTTTTCAATGAGCAGCTGCAAGTCAAATACTTTTTCCTTATCATCAAAGTCATCTATCATCAGCAAAACAGGGACCCGTGGCAATTGCTCTTCATGGTCATACATTAATAGTTTGACCACTTGCTCAGCTACTTCAGTGAAGTCAGCGTTGCTGTCTCTGAGGACTGCACAACGGAATCTGTCTCGGAGAGCCCATAAGGTATGCATGGCCAAAGTTGTCCCACCACATCCAGGTACATGCATGAGGTTGAACAACACGCAGGCTTTTCTCAGGGAGCACAATTCCGGTATGACTGTGTTCATGATGAAGTCAAACTTGTCTCGTTTGATAAATGGTGTGGATCCAGGCTGCTCTGAGAAATAGAAATTCCACCATGACACTTTTCCTCCTTTGTAGAAGTTCTCTTCTATAACAATTCTGTCCTCGTTTCCCCCTTCACATTGGTTCACACACAAGACCTCTAGGGTGTTCATGCTACGCTCCACTTTTTTCTCAAGAAGGACTTTGCTTCCTCCACCACAAGGTAGGAAACGGCTGGATCTGCGGTTTTTTGACAGAAGACTAAGAATAGTGCCATTGACTTCAGTAAGAGTGAGCTCATATGTGCATCTAAAAGAGATGTCAATTCCACACCGAGCATTGATTAGGTCCTTCCAGGAGGTAAATGCTTGTTCATTGTCACATATACACAGGATTTGTTGTGTGCCTTTGAGCTCCTGCCAAAATGTACTGAAAGTCTCAACAAGAGGGTCCATCTTCTCACTCACTGTAGACAAAAGTAAGAAAATGACAAGGAATCTCTTGTTTGGAAGCACATCTTTCCGACACAAGAAAGAAATCACATCTCGAATGGAGGCTCCCTTGTCCATCAACCACTGGTCTATGTCTGAAGGTGCCTCATCCTGAATACCTCCATTGCAGAATACCCAGCTGGTGTTTCGAGTTAATTTCAACTTGTTTGCAATGTCCTCAACTCCTTCTGTGATTTTATACCTTGCCGGTAAATGGACACTCACTGTACTCTGTTGTTCGAAGTAATGCTGTAATCCATCTTTAGCTGATTCTGGATCAAAGTCTAAAACAGCTGTTGGGTTGAGTTCCACAAGAAATCCGAGTGATTCAAACTGGACTGAATGTGATTTGTTAGTTACTATCACATACTGCTCAAAGTGTGACTTATCTAAAGACAGTGTTCCACCAGTTATCATCTGACTTAGTCTAGAGCCTTGAGAACTGCTTTTTATCACACTAAGGTGTTTCTCTTCAGCCTGTTTTCGGAGTTGTGATAATTGCGCCATGCAGTCAACAAACTGGTTGTATTCTTCCATAGGTTTGGCGAATGTGGTTGGTGCGAGGAGATCCCTGCTGCTACCACCATCTCGAACAAAGAATCGTTTGAATGGTTTCGAATCAGTTTTGGCCGTTTCTTTACCTTTTGCTTTTTTCTTGGCTTTTTTTGTGTCCATGTTGTAAATGTGGAAGATGTTTTCTTCACAGATCGTAGAGTCAGGAACTATGTCCACTTCTATCACACATTTGTCAGATGATGTTATATTCTTGTTGAGAACTTCAACAAATCGAGGAGGCTTGATGCACTTTTGAGCAGTCTGTTTTTGTTTATGCTCAAAATAGCCATCAATGGCAGATTTTAGTTCATTTGCAAAAGCCTCTTTGTCCTCAATGACAACTCCCAACACTTCACCATGGGTGAACTCTGGCTTGTCCCCTACTCCAAAATGTATGGTGCCATTGGTGCGGCTATTCATGCAAGCAGCTGCAAAGCGAATAACCTCAGTAGTGAACTTGCTCATTTTTGTTTCATCTGTTGTATTGATAAAACCTTTATACTCGTGGCAGGGTTCAATTAGGTCTGAGGCACCGGATTCTGTAATGTCAAGAATGCTGCTCTCCATGTATCTATATGTATCATGGTACCTACAAAATGGATAAGGCTTGCATGGTCGTCCAGGCTGATTTGTAGAGCTTGTTGGTTCCTCTTTCTTTAATTTCACAACCTTATCTCTGGCATGAATGATGAGTTTTGCTGGTCCAAAAGTCACACCCAGTGTTTTTAAGTCTGTTGTATCTAAAAGCAAAAGACTATCCCCATTAATGTCCTGCTGAAACAGTATTTCTGCGACGCTGTCGTCCACATTATCCAACTTGAGAACCCATTCTCTCACTTGATGTTTACTCCAGTCCTTGATGTCAGGTGACAGATCCTCTTCCTGATGCTAAAATTAAAACGTGCCATTATTTTCTCAAATTTTTCAACTTATATTACTGCACAAGGAATTATTTGTTTATATTTAGTGTATTAGTATTAGAGTAAGTATACTGTAGATGTAGTAATGCCAGCAACTTGAAAAGGTTTACAGGTACCCTGTGGAGTTGAACAATAGTGGTGCTGTTGAGTAATGTTTTTTAGAAAGTGATGTGTTTGCACAAAGATGAAGTGATACAGCAGATCACTGCTTATGGTTTGGTGGTGGTGCACCAATAAACACAGTAAGTTCGAACAAAGGCAAGGGAAAATGAGAGTGCAAGCCAATGTTCACATTGAACATTGAATTCCTTTAAATGTGTTATATGTAAGGAAATTGATTTCAGTCTGTCAGTTACTAGGTTTTAAGTAATCACCGTTTGTTTTGTTTATAGTGTGTTTAATCGTTCTGATAATCAAGTCAGTGTCTTAAATAACCAGCCAGTCGCTCAGTATAGCACCAGTCCTGTACTGCTAACAGTTTAATTGTTGTACTTCTGTGGCTCTTTAATACACCCAACTTACGCCATTGATCAGCTGCTAGGCTGCAACATGTAAAAATCAGCTAGATTTACAACAGCTTTGCTCTGTGGGTCATGGTGGTGGGCTTGCTGTTATACATTGAGCTGATATTGCAGTTAAAGAACTTCCAGCACTCAGCGTCACCTCATTTGAGTGTGTTGCATTCACACTAGCAGGGCCTCGGCAGCTCCAGGAGGTCCCTGTCTACCAACCTCCAAAAACCTTCAAGTTTGAGCTATCTGAGCTACTCACCTCTGTCTGCTCCATGTCTTCATCTGCACTACTACTTGGGACTTCAATATTCATGTAGACTCAAGAAGCTGCTCATTTAGTGCTGAATTTCTGTCACTACTGGACTACTTTAATATCATACAGCATGTCCAAGGTCCAACCCAACACTAAAGGGCACAATGCAGTCTGCAGTGCCAGGTAGTGCCAAGTACCACCACCGACCAGCTGCTAGCTTGATAGTCGTATGCTGTAAACCCTGGATTATCAATGTTGTACCCTTTGACTGGACTTTCTGCTTTGCCACCAGGACCATTTCCAACCTCTACGCTCAACACTGTGAATTTTCCTCATGTTGTTCAGCTGGTCACCAAAGCCAAGACCTCTACCGGTTCCCTGGACCCCATACCCACAACCCTGGTCAAGGCGTGCTTACCCTGTGCCCCATCTTGGTGGCCATCATCAACTCTTCCTTGGAATCTGGAATGTTACCCTATAGCTTTAAAATGACAGAGGTCACCACTGTTCTCAAAAAGCCAGGTCTGGATCCAGATGACTTCTACAACTACCGGCACAACTACTTCTTTTCTTAGTAAGATCCTGGAAAGACCTGCCCAACTCCATCAGCACAAGTCCAACCATGAGATCTATGAACCCCTTCAATCTGGTTTCAGAGCACAGACTGACCTCATCAAAATCACCTCCTCATCGCTGCCAACTCTGGCCACATCAGTATCCTCATTCTCCTACATTCATCATCTCGAGACTGGACAACCATAATGGAGTCTCCTCTGGGTGGTGTTTGCCTGTTCAGCAAACCTCAAAAGGCATGTGTAGAACTTGTCACGGTCACGGTCTTCACAGTCCACAGTCCTTTAAAGTAGCTGTAATCAAAGCCCTTCTTAAAAAGCCCACTCTCGACCCAGGGGTTTTAGGCAACTATAGACCGATTTCTAACCTCCACTTCCTCTCTAAGATTCTGGAGAAAGTAGTCGCCAAACAATTGTGTGATTTTTTTACATAACAATAGCTTACTTGAGGATTTTAAGTCAGGATTTAGTGTTCATCACAGCACAGGGTTGGTCAAAGTCTGGTTAAAGTTAATAATGACCTTTTGATTGCTTCCGACAATGGACTTGTCTCTGTACTTGTATTATTAGATTAAATTTGACATCATTGACCATAATATTCTTTTACAGAGACTTGAGCATCAAATTGGCATTAAAGGAACCGCACTAAGCTGGTTTAGGTCATACATATCAGATCGCTCGCAGTTTGTACATGTTAACGATGAATCTTCCATAAATACTACAGTTAGTCATGGAGTTCCACAAGGTTCTGTACCAATACTATTTACTTTATATATGCTCCCTTTAGGCAACATTATTAGGAATCACTCCATTACTTTCATTGCTATGCAGATGATACACAGTTATATCTATTGATCAAGCCCGATGAAATTAATTAATTATCTAAATTACAAACATGCCCAAAGGACATAAAATCCTAAATGAGCTGCAATTTTCTGATCTTAAACAAGAAAAAAAAAAAACTAAATTCTTGTACCTGGCCCTCAAAGACTCACTGTCTTAAGATATAGTTACTCTAGATGGCATTATCTAGCACCACTGTCAGGAACCTTGGAGTTATTTTTGATCAGGACATGTCATTTAATTCCAATATAAAGCAGACCTCCAGGACTGCCTTTTTTCATTTACGTAATATTACAAAAATTAGACACATACTATCACAGACGGATGCAAAAAAACGAATCCATGCATTTGTTACTTCTAGGCTGGATTACTGCAACTCTTTATTATCAGGTTGCCCCAATAAGTCCATTAAGACGCTCCAATTAATTCAGAACGCTGCAGCACGAGTACTGACAGGAACTAGGAAAAGAGATCACATCTCTCCTGTACTAGCTTCTCTGCATTGGCTCCCTGTAATAGAATAGAATTTAAAATCCTCCTCCTCACCTATAAAGCTCTTCATGGTCAGGCCCCTTCATATCTTAAAGAGCTCATAGTACCCTATTACCCCACTAGAACACTACGTTCTCTGAATGCTGGGCTACTTGTGGTTCCTATAGTCTCCAAAAGTAGAACAGGAGCCAGAGCCTTCAGTTACCAAGCTCCTCTCCTGTGGAACCAGCTTCCAGTTGTGGTTCTGGAGGCAGACACCCTCTCCACATTCAAGAGTAGGCTTAAGACATTCCTCTTTGATAAAGCTTATAGTTAGGGCTGGATCAGGTGAGTCCTGAACCATCCCTTAGTTATGCTGCTATAGGCCTAGACTATCGGGGGATTTCCCATGATGCACTGAACTCCTCTCTTCCTCTCTCTCTCTTTCTGCGCATAGCCCCCACCCTCTGGAACTTTATCCTGACAGTGATCTGCAATGCCATATCTATGGTGACTTTCAAAAAGTCAGTCTGTTCAGCAAGGCCTATGTTCTGTGTCAGTGTTTGTCTCTTACTTGTAAAGAGTCCTTGAATCCCTTGAAAGGTGCTCTATAAACACATGTTATTATAATTGTTTTGAGAAAGAAAGGGGAGAGAACTTAGATAAACTTGACAGTGCTTTTATTCATTGTAGTAGTGAGCTAGGCTAGTTGACAGGCTAACCTTGCAATTTAAAGACACTGAGGTGAATATCAAAATGATCAAAAATGCTACAAACATTAAACAAAAAGATGATCATAAGGTTGGAGGCGAAGATAACATTAGAGTACACAGGAACTAAACAGTGTTGTGTGTTTGTAAAAATGGATATGCACTACATTGTGGAAGTAACATAGAGAATACTGATGCTTCTATATGACCTACAAGCAAGACTATTATTATTCTTAATGCTGTGGTGGTGAAAACAATAGTACACAGTGGCCACCAGAATTATTACAAAATGTTCCTTGTAGATGCTTTAAGGATACAGTGTGTTTTCTTGAGACTTCTACAGGGTACCTTTAATATGTAGGAAGTGACAAAACGCTAAATGTTATTTACCTTCTTCTCGCCTTGATCTGCCATGACAGCGTTGGCTCCTTCTTCGCAAACGTCCATCACTTCTGCAACAAAAATCATTTTAAGAGAGCAAATTAAAATGGAGACACTTTACTGCTAGCACATGAAATAAAATGTCATAAGAAATCAGCTTTACCTTTTTCCTGTCACCGATTCTCACTTTTCACACATCTTGATCACTAATGCTGCAAAAGAAAGTATAAATATTAATATATTGATGTATAATCAAATGAGAATATCTAGGACTATTAAACCTCAATACTTTGGACAACCAAGATGTAGACCTTTGTCATAATAAATATTAGTAAAGGCAATATTCTAGTTATGCTAGTTCAAGGACCTTAGTACTGAACCATTTAGGGCCACTGTGGCTCAGGAGGGAGAGCGGGTCTGAACCCCAAATTGCTCTCAATGCTGTGCTTCAGTGTATCAATGTGTCTGAATGAATTCTGTTTGTGATGGCCTTTGTTATCACTGTGTGAATGTAAAGACCTGTGAACAAAATGTCGTATTAAGTTACTGCTGCAACTTCACATTAAAAGCATTTAACTGGCAAAACTTTTATTCTGAAATAAGCTAGTCACATAAAATCCAAAGTGTTTGTCAGTTAGCTTGACACTGGCTGCTATCATTTAACAAAATGAGACCATGGTCAGTTTGAAATATGTCAGGGAGTGATGGAACAGGAAGGAGAAGCCACAGTTAGATAAAGAGCTCCAGGCAGTTCTCAGTAATCCTGAAACAACCATGATCTCAATATTACCAGGCAGCTGTAGCCTGAACGCAGACAGCAGGGGAGCGAGGGTAGACAATGACTAATAACCCTCATTCATTAACTATTTCAGTTTACTTTCTGTCTGTGTTTATTTGTTAACCAAAATGAACTGAGGCCAATGCAAAGTGCCTCTCATGGCCGCTGACGCGAGAACAGGACAGGAGCAGACATGACTGAGCTGTTGCAACCGCGTGGTCGACGCGTGTCAGGGCAGAGAAACAGTTGTACTCACCTGGGGTTTCAGGTAAGGCCTGCCTCCTCTCTTGGGTTGACAGATATTTAGGATTTAGCATATGTGTTGGCCTTTTAGAAGCTGCTAACCCTGGACCACAGCGCCATGACACCTGGAACACAACAATGGAAACAAAACCATCACTAATACACCTGTGGTAGTTTTTTATACAGTGCACATACATATACTAATGTACCAGCCAACTGTAACTGGGCCTGGAAGAATACATTTAGTTTCAAAAAACAACCCTAAATAGGAATTATATAATCAGTGATATATGTGGAAGGACCGGTTTGATCTGCTGTTTTCTGTTTTTTTAACCCCTATTCCCACAGATGAGGAAACAGAAAAGATAAAGAGGACATCGAGTTTTTCCTCCCAGGACAATAATCTTCTGTACATTATTTGCAGAATCAGCACTAACAACTTTGGTAACATTATATGAGGAAGTCATGATTTCACCAGTGCTCTCTCTGAACAACAAAACCAGGAAGAAGCTGTCGTTTGAAACAGTTTGCTCAATACACAGTTCCATTGTACTGTAATGTCCAAACACAACTATCAGAATATAAGTTTTCTTTATTAGGGGTTTTAGTGATTGCTGAGGATGTGGTATAGTTATATTCTCAAAAGATTTTATTATAGATCATTACAAATGTAAAGAGTGTAGTTAAAGACAGGATATAACACTGAGGTTGTCGCCTTTTGTTTTTCATTTTAACTGATTCAGATCATTTCATCAATCTGCTCAAACGTTGGTGATTCATTTATAGCTTCCCCTCCACAAATGTGTGAGATTTATTTTCCTCTCAGCCTGACAAACCTCTATGTGTTCACTTTTACTGCCCACATTTCTTCCCTAAACATCTCTCCTTTCATTGGTTCATTTGATTTTAAGCAGTGCAGCTCAGAGTTCACTAACTATTGTCTATACACAGATTTATTGGTACACAATGGATCTCCTCAAAATACTGCATCTGGTTAAATAACGTAATAATCACAAGCAGCACTGCGGAAGATAGAAACAGACACATACTTACTGTGTTATTGCAGTCTGTCCTCGCAGTGTAGCAGGCTGATGTACAGCAGGAGGTCGGTGAGCGGATGAGAGCAGAGAGGAGAGAGAGAGGAGAGAGAGAGGAGAGAGAGAGGAGATCTGCACCGACTGCCGCAGAACAGAGTTTATATTCCGGTGGGCGGTCGGTTCACAAGAAACGAAACTCAACAGATACACAGTGTGTGTGTGTGTGTGTGTGTGTGTGTGTGTGTGTGTGTGTGTGTGTGTGTGTTGGTTTGAAGAAATGATACCTCGATGGGGAACCGCTGACTTTTGGTTAATCTCTCTCCACTCTGTCTGTAAATGCGCCATCAGTGCACTGGATGCAGTTAATACTTCCTGCTTCTTCCTCCCAAAAACACCCTGAAGAGGAAGGAAGAGGAGGGATGAGGAGCGCTATGGAAGCTCAGTTCTGCCAATGTGATGGAGGAAAAAGTAACTTTCTCAAAATTGTGGAAGCCCATTTCCGCCAGAAAAAAAAGAGAGATCAAACTTATAATAATAAATAATAAAAACATCCTCAAAGTAAGTCGAAATGATGAGATAAAAAGTCATAATTATGTTTTATGACAAAGGCATTATTTTGAGATACAAAGTAGAAAATATTGAGAAAGTTTCTCATTATTTGACATTACATTAAGAATCCTTTTTTCCTCTCACATGGGCAGAAAGGCTCTTCCAGTATCCTCCATACGATAATAGGTCATCCAGATCATTTAGCTCAGCTCACCAATAAGAGCCGACTCTTCATTTAAAACCACTTGCCTTTTATAATTCAGTCAATATCAGCATATATTTCTCATATATCATTTAAATTATAGATATATATTGTCGGCCATGGCGGCTACTTTTAGTGAACGATGCGAGCCAGCTTTTTTAAAAATAAATTGTTCACTTAAAGGAGTCAACAACTCATTAGTTAATGCTGCTGATTACTTAACACACCTGAAACTGTGTTTTAGGAGTATCAGGATGTTCTATGGTCTGCCTTCTGAAAACTATGTTGATTTGAACCTGAATCGATCAACAACACTACTAAATAAAAACCTGTATATGAAGGTTTTCAGCTAAAAAAAGTGGTTTGGGGTTTTAGTTCTTAAAGCATTCAAAGAAAACTAAATCAAGAGAGTATCTTAAAATATTACAGTCTTTAAGATTTAATTGCCTTTAATTGCAAACCGCCTAGAGCATCGTCAAACCCATGGATGCTGCAAGAGGAATCAGCCTTGGTACACCGGCTCTACCAGGCTATCAGGACGCCACAAAGTTATACAATTCTGTACATTAGAAAGATCCTAAATCTAGGATTTGTTTGCAGCAGGGTTGATCATGCCTGAACAAAATGACATCCGCAGGTTCATTTTTAAACGTTTCCTGTGCGACAGCTGACAGGCTAATTAGCAAATTGGTAAGTGGTTAATGCAACAATACGAGGCATAATCATAAAGCCAAAATATATGAAATCTAAAGTTCTCTCTATGTATGACACTGCAGAACAGAAATGCATTTCAAATCTGGTCAACCTTTATCTGACTTCCAACATGTCTGTGTGTTGTTGTGTGCTCAAGAGTTGGTCAAAAGGTAAGAAGTTTTAAAAGCTGAGCTCAGAAAAGGAGCCTGACTGGTTAGTTTAGTGACTGGTTCAGTGGCTGATTGGTTGTTTCCAGATCACATCAGGTTCTCTTTATTAGAAGCCAAGCCTACCTGAGGTTGAGTGGCAGAATACCACAGATTCCAGGACTAGGGTTGGGCTGCAATTGATGTTCAATTGATTTAAATGTATTCTATAAGACAAAAAGAGACCAATGTGACCTCAGAAAAGAAAATGAAAACTAAGATTTCTTGCTTAAAAAGTGTGTCGTCTGCTCAGTGTATTTCTAAAGCTTTAAACTGAGATAACAGACCTTAATAACAGCAACTTTGGCATTAAACAGTAGGGTAAACACAATAAATGGAACAGAACAGCCACATTCTTCATTACAAGTACGCAGTTAAAAGAACCAAAGAGCTACAAGCACAATAGGAAGAAAACATTTTGTCAGGAATTTGTTGGGAAAGACATCTATGAAGTCTGTATGATTGTTAAAAAGTTGAAAAAGTACATAACCCAGACAGAGAATTGTATAAAACTGTCCCTAAAATGATCAAGATAACTAATCTCTTCACAGTAATCGGATCAAAATCATCCAAATCGCTTGTTTTACACAAACTTCCTGCAGTCATTGTGCAGTATTTGGGTTCATTGTGCAGTTTATCAGTTGTTCTGTATTTTTATTGTATTGCATATAATATGAAATATGCATAACATACGTCCTTAAGGAAAAAGACAGGGAACCACTGATCTAGAGCCAGTGTCTGGTTTGTCTGAACACTCCAGCCTTGATGGCGCCATAAATAAATAAAAAATGCAATAATTAAATATAATTTATAAAAATATAGCACCCTTTTGCAAGCACATCATCAGTAGTTTGTGGGAATGGAAAATATTCTAGTTTTAGCTCTCCAAGATAACCTTGGATTTTAATGATTATTTTATGATATTGTAGTGAGATAAACTAATACTGAACAACCACGATAGAACAGGTCGACCAACCTTTACAACTAAAGCTGTTTGTTACACTCACTGTTATAACAGGCATTTCCATGTGCCTTAATAAAACCTGTGGACCAATGCAAAACAGTGCAAAATACTTTATTTTGAGTGAAACACACTCATCATAGAGCCACAACGACCAAAATCCTCCTCCAAACTACAACACTGTGTCTCTGTTTAAACACACAGCAGGCCTATGGACATCAATACATCACTTTTACCAAATCTAACGTTACAGTTCATCAAGAAAACCAGCCAGAAACAGTCAGTAGACTACAGCACAGCATTTCATATGTGAGAGCATTAAAACAACATAACACAGTTTTGTTCATTTGTATTTTCTGTTTTTCTACATGATGATGTTTGAAATTTACTTTTTATCATGAAAGTCATTAACTTGCATTTAAAGCCAAAAATATACTCACACATGAAGGAGTAATACACAACAGTTGACCACCAATTACAATCAATCAGTAACTGAACACAAATACGAATAAAACTAAACGGAATCAGCAGTAAACTGAAAGCTTAACAGTATTTTATTCTACTGTATATCTCAGCAAATGTCACATATTGTAGTATAGAAGGATTCTTATATACAGTCTGTACAACCTCCTGAGCACCTGCTGCTCATTTCAACACAACGTGGTAGCCGTCTGTGTTTTCATCTGGAAACAGAAAGCGAAGCAGTCAAAGATCACTCAACAACACCACATTAAAGAATGATGGATGCTGAATGTTTGTAGCTTAAAGGCGGAAGATAATTACCCCTCGTAGTGCTGAGGATGAAGCTCGTTTCCTCCCTGAAGTTCTGCACCATCTGAAACGAAAAGGGTCGACCCGTGTTAACTGCAGTCCTCCCTCCTGACCCCCCAGCTCTGTGAGCCAATGGGGGTAACAGACGTAGGTAGATGGTTGTATAAACTAAAGACAGGACTGTACTGAACTCGTTACAGGTATGTCACATAATGTAACAGCTGTTCAGCCTCGCACACACTTAAAGGATAGAGAGAAACAGGGCTTTTATTAGAAGTTTTACGGTATACAGCGATGATTTGTTGTATTACATTTAGTTTTTAGGAAAAAATTATTGAGCTCCAGACCTCGGTGGCCTCACAGCTGTCTACGGCCACGATTACAGTGGTAAATACTCTAGAGGAGAGCCTTCTCACTGATTGCACTTTCTTTTGTTCTAAATCTAAATCTAGTTCAGTAATTCTCCATACTGTCTACAGATGCAGTACCTTTCATAGATAGATAGACAGATCAAACAGGCTTACAAGACAGACTATCAGTGTACATGAGCATAGGTGTGAGACCAAATACAAATTATAGGAAAACATGAACAGTTATTATAGTTATTATAATATTCTGTATGTCTTTATACTGGAAGCTGCAGTAGGCGACTTCTATGAAAATAACGTTTTGTCATATCCTGACAGTTGTACAGATAATCTGGTTCCACCTGCTCCTAATGGGATTTGGAAGAATCCACTGGGCCCGAATGAAACCAACCAACCATTTGTGAACAGTGTGAGGAGTTAAGGGCTGATACCTCATCGGAGACTATGACGTGGATCCCGTTGGGTTTCTGTCTGTAGATGTGTGTGATTTGCTGTGGACTGATGTTATACAGCAGAGCGATCTTCTCAGACAGGTCCAACAGCGTCAGCTCCTCCAGGTACAGAGCATGGTAGACTGCGGGGGGGCAAAGGAGACAGTCCATAAGATCACATCATACACTCTCAAATCAAAAGGTTTTTCTAGTCGAAGAAAAGAATCTGATATAAATGGAGACTAATTTGTAAAAGTCTTCTCGTCAGTATTTCATATTCTAGATATCCAAAATATGTGATGACATCATTTAAACATCATAAGATATGAGCATATGGAAGGATAATGTGACTCTTCTTACTCATTTACATACCGTGTCCACTTTATTAGGTACATTTTGACAATCTAAAGCACTCCAAGTCTGCTTTTATGGTTCCTATAATGGTTTAACCATGAGCTTAATAATAAACACATAATTCAAATTGCATATTTTCCAACCTAATAAGCTTTGTAAACATGTTATGGGCAGGGCTGCTGTATCAGATTGCATTATATCACTGTGTGCAACCTCAGAAAATAACAGGCACTCCCAGTAAAATACAGCAGCTTTATTTCTAATAAGAAGATTATTTATTGTTGTTGAATCCTGAACAGAACCGGTACTACATAGCTGGTTTTATATTGAAACAAAATATTACAGTAAATGTAAAACTTGATAGTATTGATATATGTTTTTAAATTAATTTAATAAAAAGTATATTTTAGAGGTTCCACCATGTACCACTAGAGGAAGCTCATATATGTACCGTAGTTTGAGAATCAATGCATTCGATTATACGCAGTAATTTGAAGTAATAATAATATCTCTTGAGTTCAAGTTTAGAAGAAGAAGATATACTTTATTGATCCCCAAGGGGAAATTGTTCTTTTCACTCTTTTTTTATACAGACACACACACACACACACACACACACACACACACACACACACACACACACACACACACAGGCTGAAATGCACACTTCATGCACTTCTGGACATGCAAAGGGGAGAGAGATGGTGGAGTGATGGGGCTGCAACGTTAACAGCGCCCCATGAGCAGGTTTTTGGGGTTAGGTTGCCTTGCTCAAGGGCACCTCGGCAGTGCACAGGAGGTGAAACTGGCACCTCTCCAGCTACCAGTCCACACTCAATATTTTGTGGTCTGTGGGACGGTTGCCAAGCCAAGTCCCTACACACTGAGCTACTGCTGCATAATGAAAAAAAGCCTTTACATTCATGCCACAAAAGTTTAATAATGTCAACATTTCGATCCTGTTCTGGATCTTCGTCAGGCCCGAATGTTTGAAAGACCTGAAACCACACCTTTATTTATATAACGACGGGTGTTAATCCTCCCAACCAGGACGACAAACATCCAAAAACAATGAACAATACAAGAAAGTACACAGACAATCTGTACATCAGAATATCCACATACACAAATCACATACATGAAAATCTAAATATATTGTAGAAAAAGGGAAGAAATCGTCAGCTCATGTACAGAAACTGCATGCATTAATTAACTGCATATAATAAGACTCATATTACACAGCATGTGCACTTACTCTCTCCACCCCCTGGCTTGATGGGAGGTTGATGTCTGGCCTGCTGCTGACACACATAGATGGTAAGACGGGGCTGAATAGACCTGGAGAATGTGAGCACAGGCTGTAATGCTAGCACTATGGAGGACATGCAGTAGCAGTAGATGTCTTAAGATGCTTCTTTGTTTGCCCTCTTGTTCCTAAACACTGAATTTTAGGGCTTTTTGGGAAGTTTGTCTTCACTTTTCTCTAATCTCTTTAGTTTAGTAACATCAGTGTTTTTGTGTCTGGAGTCTGGTGGAGAGTGATAGTGATATTACAGCTGTTCAACTAAAGGTCTATCTCTGTAGGGATCCTTTCCAATTAAGGATTTATTTCCACCAAACCAGAGTTGGTGATTGTTGGAAACACAAACAGAGACGCTTTTAATGAGTTTTATTCTGTTTCTGTCCTTTTGTTGGGGGGTTCTGGCTTTTTGAGATCTTGTCACTCTAGTGTGAAATCTAGCGGAAAGTAACCTTTAATGTCTCACCTTCCTTTCATGGTGTTAAAGAGGCGAATACCGTCTGCTGGTCCACAGATCTGGATCAGATCCTCCCTGCTCATCCTCAACAGATCACCACCTGCAACCACAGCAGAACATCAGTGTTCTCCTCCTCTGACTGTCCTAATGTATAACTGTCCCGTGGATCTGCGTTATCTGTGTTTGAGATCTTTCCGTCCGTTACCTGAGAAGCTGGAGAAGAGCCTTGAGAAAGGTGAGAACCTGTGACGCTGCAGCCACTGCTGAGTGTCCTGCGGCGAGGACGATGGCAGAAGGTGCTACATGTCAAAAAGAAGAAGAGCCCTTGAAATGAGTATAGCAGCACAGCATCCACTGTCTCCAAATACTGGCCTAAAAGGAATGAGAGAGCACCATTAACACTTTCACAACGCACTGAACTCCGTTACTTACATCAGAGCAGCCGGGCATGAGCAGATCCTCCTGCTGGTTTGGAGAACAGTTGCTATAGAAATGTGCACGAAGAGGAAGGAAAGAACAGATTGGGGTGATTGGATTAGTATTTTGTTCGTACCGCTCTGAAAAACATCTTTCTGTCCAATTACTGATGCAAAAGTGTCTGTTTGTATCTGTTTATAGAGCCCACTTGTGGAAGAGGGTTGAGTAATACTGGTAAGCACCCGTAGAGGGAGCTGTTATCCCACTATTACACAAACAGTACAGCGGTCAAACCCTCGGCCTAGAAAGAGAATTTACATATTTTACTGCCTTTTTATATTTAAAATGATCAACAAAGCTGAAGTCAAATCATTTTATTTTTTATTAAATCAATACAGTTTAAACCCACATTGATATTAACCCACAGTTCTCCTGCAGAGCTCTGCTGAACCACATTATTTAGGCTGGAGCAAAATGGTGACTTTCTGTGTGAATGCTGACTCACCCCTCTGTGAACCCACAGGAGGTTGGCGAGCTGTGGTAAACGGGTGACGGAGTGCTGCTGCTGCTGTGGATGGTGAGATTCAGGGCATCAGGCCAAGGGGAACACTTGAGAGAGGGAAAGAGGAAGAAAGGAAGAAGGCGTTTTCTGATTATTCAACCTGGCAACGTAAATATATTAACACAAAGGCTGCAGGAGCAAAAAGATCAATGTTACAAAACATATTAAAGCTGCACTAATCTGTATTTTAATACAATGGATCAAAGGACTATGTGTTCAGGTGTTGTTTGTAGTAGCGGCATTTTAGCTTCTTCTTTCTTTTGGGTTTTTTTCCTGCTTGCAAACTCTTCAGCAGCATGCAGTCGAAGTTAGCAACTTTATCTCAGTATTTGGTTCACTTCTGTGAAGAACAGTCATGTAAATTGATGACTAAAAGACACTGAATTTGTCACAAAAGATGCCTTTTAAGTCTGTTTGATTGTTAAAAATGATTAAAAATACAGAATACAGACAGAGAATTGTATTAAAAAAAAAAATCTGCTCCGAATTCATCCAAATCTCTGGTTTTACACAAACTTCCTGCAGTTACTGAGTTCACTGTTTGTGGGCATCAGTGTTAAACTGGGACCAGTTCCAGTGCTGGTTTTCACACAGTGTATGAATGACAAACCAGATTAACACTACAGCACAAACTGCTGAGTCACTTGACGTTCAAACCCCCCCCAATCATTGACAGAGCTCAGCACTGACGCAAGCACACCTTTAATAAAGACTGACTAAAAACAAGCAGAGCAACATATTAACACTGATACAGTACGGGGGTTGAACTGCAAACGGGGAGGGGGCGCACAGAAACATAAAACACCAGTTTATGGCCTCTTGGAAGATTAGATACATATAGATAACAGAAGAATTCACTAGTGTGGGATCAATAAACAGCATTACTGACCTCTTTCAGCAGGGTGGTCTCATGGGACGCCTGATACTTCTCTCTGTCTTGGAGGGTCTTCTTATCAATCTTTTCTCTGTCTGTCTTCAGTTTACGATCGGCTCCTTTAGGCTTAAAAAAAAAAGACATTGGAAGTGGAAATATATAAACACAGACGTCTATTATTAATTATCTTTTGTGTTTTCTTACTTTTACACAGTTTACTTTTGAGTTTCTGAATTTAAATTTCCGTTTAATCGGCAGCGACATCCCGACATGTGACGTCACATCATCACGTCCCAGAAGGGAAGAAAGTTTCTTACCTTGAAGACTTTGACCTGGCAGCTGGACGAATGGACATGCTCCATGTATTCCCCGTGCTCATTGGCGGTGAAAGTGTCCACCTGGATACGAAAGGGCACGCCTTTCTCCCCGCCGTGCTTCCTCGGGGTGAACTCGGTGCTGATGCAGTTGACCTGAGGAAGACGTGACAACTGTAAGTTTGCCATATATAGCATTAATAATGTTCCCAGATGTTTGACTAGAATCTATCCGTACCTGGATGAAAACAGAAGCGCTCTTGACAGGATCCCAGAGGAACTCAATAGTGTTGAGGTGCAGGGGATGCGAACGGGGCTCCAGTAACCCCACTGACAACGGGATATCTGCAGACAGCGAGTCCGTTTACATTAGCTACAGAGCTCCTGAACACGTCTCGCTATGAGCAACAGGTGCTAGCTGATCACACTTTGGTTATTTCGGATCTGAATTTGGTGTGTTGAGCTGGACGGACTCACTGAGAATGAGCTGTCAATCACAAGGTAGCCCCGCCCTAAAGCATACCCTGCTTTATGGTCTGTTTTACTCTAAATGGGACCATCAGTTACTAAATGAACATCATGCTGTATGGAAGAAGACTGAAACTAGAGACTGAGACCAGAAACTCATCAGGAAACTGTTTACTGAGCTCATAAATCAACTGAGAAGTCGACTCATTTCTCCATAAGACTGAATGGTATCAGTCTTTATTGCCCCCTGCTGGTTGTTACACAGAATACAGGTCTAAGACACTTCACAGACTCAGAAGCTCTGAGAAGCCTGAACTGCCAGAGTTAAAAATAACAACATCCTGTTGGGTTTAGGGGTATGGAGAGGCTTTTTTGTACGACTGGGCCTGGAAGGTTTCATAACTTTTTGCACACCAAATCTGTTTTTTTTTTATTGTTGTATGTTTAAATATAAATACAAGCTTGTGTTGCATCAATCATGTTTACACACTGACTCCTCCTCCTCGCTCGGCCTCTTGTACCCGCCAGGCCAAATGCAAGATGCAGGCAGAGAGCGGAGACAGCCTGCAGACGAACCTCCAGAGGACAGACAGCTCCTTTATCAGCAGGTGAAACTCTGCTTGTTCTTGACAGCTTGGACCCAATTACATTTTCTGTTTCTACTGTCAGTGAGAGGACCACAAAATCATCTTTATTGTGTGACGACTGTGTCTCGTCTCATATTGTGAATTTCACAACGGATAGAATAATAAAACACATTGGTTTCTATGGGTACAAAAATACAGACTTGATGTGCAAAAATGAGATTCCTTTCACTTAAAGTAGATTCCAGTTCCACCGAGGTCGGTGCTCGGGACCTAATAATACCCAATACTTTGATACATCAGGTCAAAAGTACGATCAGCTCACCTATATCCAGGATTCGGTCTCCAGGTCTGTTCCACCTCCATCCCTCCAGCTGCTGGTGCTCCATATACTGCAGCCGACGGTCGTGAAACACCACGCGCACAATGCTCTGCGAACAGGCAGGATCAAACGTTTAGGGCCCGGAGCACAGCTACAGCTCGAGCGGGGGAGCTCGCACGTAGCCCAACAGCCGGACTGTTGGGCAAAGTGCGAAAAAAAGGCTCCCCTCATTTATTCATTAAGACACACTGAGGCAGTTTCTTTAGGGAAGGGTGAGGAGGTGGAAATTCACAGTGAATTTCATCTCCATTCCTTCCCCGTCACTGCCAATGAGCTACATGTGATCTGTTTGCAGTATCAACAGGGACTTTCAGGGCTCCCACATTCACTTGGCCACCGAATTTAAAGATCCCATGAAATGGATGAAATGGATATTTGAGCTCGCCGAAAGATTGCTAGTTCCTGGAAAACAGTTTCTGTTCTTTCTCTCCATACCCAGCGGCAACCTCCGTGGCTGCAAATGAAGTAACAGAAACTGCAGTTCCTCTAACGGCCACTAGAGGCTGGCTCCAGCAGTGAGTCAGTCTCCATAAGGCCCCAAATTAAAATGTCTTTACAGCAGAAATAAACATGTTTACAGCCTGGTTTTTTTAAAGCTAATTTCCCCGTTCATGACAACTGTACAGGGGTTGAATTTTTTACCTGTTTAAATTATATTAAGGTTTAAAGTTCTGTACAATTAAAGGTCCAGTGCGTAGCATTTAGGATATCTATCTTTTCATTAGTGTGTAATCACCAGAATTGTTATGGTTGAGACTTTTATATAGGGGCGTTTTTTGCGGCCCCTGTAGGTTTTCCTTTGTGCTTGAAAGTGCAGGGTGGAGCGAGGGAGTTGCAATCTGTGTCTACACCACTATATGCTATTAAATCCTACACACTGGACCTTTAAGGGCGTGGCTGCTTTGAGGTTGTTTTCAGTAACCAGGCTTCATTCAGCTCAACCCACAGGACTGCCAAGATGGCGACGGTCAGCGCCGACCACACCGAGCTTCACAGCGGCTCTTCAGAAACTTACGGGTGGTGACGTCACGGAGACTACGTCCATTTTTATTTTATTATCTTTGCTCCGTACTGACCAGTTTCAACAGGAAATGCAGTATTGATACCATTTTATGGGACCTTTAAGAGCTTTTCGGTGATATTCAAGCACATGAATTTGGAGTTGTGACAGTCAGAGTTAGATAGCACTAATACTTCATGATCACGTCAGGTTGAAGAAGGTTTTTTATTATGATCACCACGGTCACAAACTTCAGATTATTTATGTGGGAACCCTGAACAACAAAGAGTCTGAATTCTGTCAACTGCATCTTTAGTAGCTGTTGTTACTAACTTACTGACCCACTTTGTGTTGGCAAATAACATCTTTTCACCACATCACATGTACAAAAATATATTTTTATTTAAAGGGGCACGCCACCGATTTGATGATGTAATGAAAATAACCTTGAAGATGTCATCAGGGTTTGAGACGTATCATTTTTAACAGGATGCCTTTTTAAAAAAAAAAGAAAATGGGGATGTGTGTTAGCTGGCAATTAAGAGGCAGTGAGGGTCTAATAAAGGATGATATCAAGTTGCATTATGGGAAATGTAGGCTCATTCTAGGGACTAAAAGTCAGGATATCTTAACCTCTGCTGCTTCGATTTTCATGCTCTGTGATCTGTCTGTTGGGACATTATAGGCGCCCTTTTAAAATCCTGAATGAAATAAACAGATAATAAATGAACAACCTGTAAAAACACACAAACACCGTCAGGATATTTCTGGAGGGAGGCTCATGCATGACCGAGCACCAGAACCCGGCACGTCACGTGTTTGCATAGACGCCACCTGTCCCATTCTCGCGTTTCTAGGATGCTACCGCTAACATTACGGTCTCAAGCAATGGCAGCCGGACGACACAGGCATGTGAAGTGCATGCACTCAAACAGAAATGAGGTGCAATGAGCTCTCCTTACTTCTTAAGTGAGTGTTTGCAATAAACGGAGTCACTTTTGACCCGTGTGCTGAAGATGAAGTGATGGGCTGCTAATGGGTTTTAATCAGAAAGCGGGAATATACCAGTTTATTTTAAACATTTCAAGGAAAGAAACAAATGTGCCCAGACATAATTTAAGTATAAAGATGCCCAAGTTTGTATGAAAATTTAAGAAAAGAGTGTGTGTGGTAAACAGTTTTTGTTTTTGTGAAGTCTAGGAAAAGAGAAAAGGTAAGTTTGGGTGATAGTACCAAGCTCTCCAAGGTCGACACCCCACCCCAGAAGTGGAAGGGAGGGTCGAGGGACCTGTGACGAACCAGGAAATGCATACATGAAAAACGGATAAGAGAAGAAAGAGGAAGAGGTCACATGAAGGTCAAAAAACAGACAACAAAAACAACAAAAAAAACACCTTACACCTACCTTTACACATTTGCTGCTTATATCTGTATACTCCACTAGTTTTCTGTTAAGCATACGGATTTCGTAGGACTGACCTACATTTTAAAACATTAAAAAAAACCTGATTAAAATTGAAAAATGGGAAATCAGTCAATCAGAAAAGAGGGTCAGTGGAGATAGAAATTGAATTAAATTAGAAACCTTTTAAGCCAGATATCAAGGCGAGCCACTAGAAAACTTTTTTACGTATCTCCATCCTGATCAAATATGATACATTAACTTTAATATCACAAGAAATTGTCATTAAAATAGCCACTGTAGGGACACTGTAAGACTATCAGTGCTTTGTCAGCAGAATAAAACTGGCAATTAACTTGGTGTAGTTGTTGGTTTACAGCAAGCTCACTTTCATTGTGTTTGCAATCCAATCAAATTACTGTACAGCAGATAAGCAGGGCAAACTTGTAGATAAATAAAGGTAAACAGAGCACAAATACAAACTGTCACTGTTCAACAAGAAGAGACAGAAACAATCAGAAGTGGAAGAGGATGAGGTGAAAGAAAAGTACAATTTGGAAACGAGAAGACAAAGAAGAAACGGAAAGGAGGGAGAATTAGATTAGAGGATGAAAGTCAGACAGGTAGACCTTTTTCACAGCAGCCATATTGACATGAAATAGTCGGGTAAACACAGGTGATTATAATGAGCACTCAAACATAGTATCACCTGTGTTTACCCGACTATTTCATGTTAAAATGGCTGCTGTGAAAAAGGTCTTTTAACACTCATGTAGGAGCTCATGTTGCACAGATAAAGAGCCAAAGATTTATTGTATTTATGTAATTATATATATTTATATAGAGTCCAGGTCAGCCTACTTTATACTGTATGTTTGATTATTATTCTATGGAAGCAAAAAAAGGCCATGATCATTTGAATTTGATTAAGCAATAAATGAAATTTAGAATGTTTACTTACTTGAAATATAAATACCACTGAATTTATGTGGTCTGTATTCTAAATTTCAGATTTAAAAACTTCAAATACTTACTTTTTCTTATTTTTTGTATTTTTTTACATACTTATTATTCATTATATGTTTTTTTGTAATTTATTATACTTTGTAATAATATATTATTATTTAATTTTCTGATTTATCTAAGTTTTTATATGTATAAAACATAGATAAAACATTATATTATATATATGACACTATATTTATATGTATATGTAACTAATAATGTTTGCTAACTAACGGTGCAGTAATACTTTAATAGGGATTATCCTCTGGAGCAGGAACAACTTAAACTCAATATTCATTTTAAAGGGTCTGCAAATTAAAATTAGTAGAAATAATTTAATGGAATAAAAAATCAGGTTGCTTTATCTTGGATAAGTTAAATAACTGTTAGACTTCTGTCCAATAAGATTATGTCCTATCAATCACATGCCCCAAAAAAAGATATTTTTTTAATTCAAACCACATAAATCCAGATAGATGCTTTCCAAAGTAAAATGTTTCAGTGCTGTGAATTTAAACTTAAATATTCAGTATTGATAAACTAAGTGAAAACAATAAGCAGATTTATTTGGTAATACTGGAGGACAACGCATTATTTTGCTGTTTCTTTGCTTCCATAGAATCGAACAATTTAGAGTTCTGAAGTGACCAAAACATTAAAAATCCAGAGCTGCGACTGTTAGAGCATTAGCAAAGGGAATCTCACTTAAATCAGCTTTATTGATTATTCTGCTGCAGAATAAAGATCATCTGACAATTAAAGAGTCTCTCAGACAGCTCCAGATTTGTCATCCTGATGCCTCTGCACACACAACTCTGTCCTTCCATGTTTCTGGCCTTTACTGGGTTGTAAATTTAAACCTAACCCTGGCGCTGCTGCAGGGATGTGACAACACGAGCTCCAGTCCCATTCAGTCAGTGCGGACATTCAGCGAGCAGGACGGATAGCTACCTTGGTTGAGATAAGTGAGACTCTCCTCCTGCTGTTTCACAGCCGGCGAGGTGGGTGCACTCAGAATATACTGGAATGGGGTCCTCCGGGCGCCATTTTCAGCCATAAGCCTTGCTTCTTCGTTTTTCAAGAAAGGCGCCAAGGCCTCTCTGAAAGAGACCAGAGGGGAAGAAGAGGGGCTGAGCACAGCGAGGGGGGTGGGGGGGGTGGGACGATAAAGGTGATTGTCCTGTTTTATCTAATCATTTAATCACATGAACAAAGGTGCAAAAGGTTGATGTTACAAAACACAATGTTACTTATCCAGCTTATTTTAAATGTATTAGACTGAAAAAGAGAAAGAAAAGTAGTCTAAGTGGTCTGTTTTTGTTGATTTTGAGTGCAATGCTCCTTTAAAATGTGAATAATAATAATAATAATAATAATAATAATAATAAAGGCAGAATTACTGCAAATCTGCACATTTTAAAAACACATTATAAGCCACACATAAGCCTGTTCCCTCCACATATCACTGCTTTGCACTGACACTTTGATTTAACCACATGCAAGCGGCTGCAATCCACAAGTTCTCTGAAGCTGCTCAGTGTGTGCTTTACCTAATGTAACTAGCAGAGTGCTGGTGGTAGGACTCAGGCTGGGAATGGCAGAACAGCATATTTTCCAGTGCGGTTGTCTTCTTGTATCCCGGGACCGGTGGAGAAGAGGTGGAGACAGAGACGGCTCAGAGAGAGAGAGAGGTTTTGAAGCCAGACCTCATCGCCCTGCCTCTTATACTGTCCCTGTGATGTCATCAGGATTGCCATTGGCATACCTTGGATGACCTTTGAGAGGCGGAGTGTGCAGACACACCTCCTACTACCAATGTCCAGCTGGGTTGATGCATTAATAGCAGCTTCACTTGAGCAGTTGTTGACACTGCTAACAGCTCGGCCCTAAAGCCCGACTCTAAACTCACTTAAGGTAATCTGTGAGGTACATTTCTGGAAAACAAACACGAGAACGGGCAGCAGGTTTTTTGGGGAGCAAAATGAAAGGGAGTAAACATAATTACAGCTCTGAGAACAGCTGTTGAGGAGAGATTTTTCTGATTCTAAAAATCAAGTAACAGGAGTTTTCTAATCTAATATCACCTTAACATAATATTTATATCAATAATAATAACAGTGATGGAAGGGCTGCTGTGGATGCAGTTTAATCCCAACATGCACTGGAGTTCAAACTCCTGCAGCTGCTGTCCGGTCTCTTCAGAGGCTCCTCAAAAAGTGCTCAGGTTAATGTTTATACAGAGCAGCTAAGCACACCTCAGCGCTCGGATGCACGTGCTTGTAAATGGATGAACAGGAATATGCAATTTAAGGCTTATGTTTATGTCCACGCTGGCAAAAACACTACAAAACGATGTGAAGGAAGATCCGTATTGTTTCCCCAAAAACCCATTAAACAGATTAATGTCCACAGTGGAATTTTATAATTCCCGTTTCAGCACTTAAGCACAAATCCGCTCACATTTTCTCAAACCAGTAAAGGATGAAGCTCAAGCAAGTTTGTCTTTCCTTATTTTTAGTCATTAGTCAGGTTTCTTCTTTCAGATGTTTATAATTTGTGATCCACACATAAATGAGTAAGCCCTAGTGACTACATACAGAAATGGCTTCATCTCAAAAACTACCAGGAGTATAATGTTTGGTACGTTGGATTCAGCAGAACTTAAGTTTTAATCATATGTGCTTTGATCCAGTGTAAATCTGATGTTTAACGTCACATTTCTCTCATTATTTATGCATTTTTTAAGAAGAAAATCAACATTGTCTATGATAAACATTAAGTTTCCACAGCAGATTTTATGTTTTCATCTCTAACAGAAACAATATGTCGGTTTTTCTTACTAAATACTGTCGTTAGTCATTAATGGGGTTAAAAGCAACATGAAAAAAATGCAATAAAGTAACATTAACTTCATTAATCCAATCAATGTTTAAGACAGAAGTTTTAAAAATCATATTTTAAGGCTTAAAATTAAGATTATTGATTATTACTAGGTAGCCGATCTAAATTAATTGTTAGCTAGCTAGTTACACTTGACAGCTAAAGAAAAATGCTAGCTAATAACCTAGTTAACAAGGGATATAGATTAGCTAACTAGTGAGCTAGTTATTTGCTAACATTAGTTAACTTAACATATGACTATATAGGCCTAAATGTGACTTTTATCTTTTAAACATCCTCAAAATTAGTTTTTTTCCAAATATACAAGCCTAGCATAGCTTTTTTTTTAAGTACAGGAAACCGAGGTCCCAAAAGGGGGCGGGTCCCAAAAGGGGGCGGGGCTTTACATTCACAAACAAACAAACATCCAGATCAATTCTTATTCTGTTTATTTCTAGAGCAAACAATTTCTTTACATTGTTGCAAATCTATCACAGGTGGAAGTTAACAAAAAAAAAAACAAATCCGTCTGTACAGTTTTATCATGAGAGAACAAAATAAAATAAGACCAAATAAAATAAAATATATAAATACAGGTATGAATATTACATGACCGACTGAGACAAAAGAAAGACAGTGTACTGTAGAACATGCATAGTGAAGGTTTTTTTTGCGAGGAATACCATTGTGTTTGTTTCCAGGACCAGTAATGTGAGAACAGATGCTAGCGACCGGCGGTTTGTGGACAGGTGAACCCCCCCCCCCTCTTTAATGCTGTATGTGGAGAATCTAAAACCCCAAACTAGGCTGATTAATGGTCTGAAAAAGTGTTGAAGGAAGTCAGGAGAGAGAGTGCAGACAGGCATAATACAGCGTGTACAGGGCTCGCTGAAATCATCGTCAGTACCAATACTTAAAAAGCTTATTATAACACATGGAAAGACTGTACATTCATTTACTTAAATAACCACAATTGGCCCATTCTTAGTGGATTCCCTAAATGAAAACACCACTTAAATAAATCAGGAATACTTATATTATTATTATAATTATGATTTAATTTGCTAGAAGTTAGCAAAATATAGATAGAATAAAGTAGATTAACTGTACCATGATGAGCCAAATCGAATACCAGCAATAAAATTCAACTCGTATGTCTGAGGGGTAAACTTGAAGAGACATTTTAAAGCTTCTTGATACCTCAAACTTAACACTGAAATAAAAAAGAACCAAACACATACCCTGCCTGCATACTTAAATATACCAAACGCATGGTTTTGGTCACAGTTGCTCCATTTTGGACCTCCCCTCCCCCCCGTAGGAGCTCCTCCACTGAACACATTAAATCAGAGATGAAGTAGTCTGAAGATGTTACAAGTGCACTTTAACAGCCAAAAAACCTGGGCCCTTCAGAAACAACAGCACACGAGTTGACAACGTGCTGCAGGTTACATGCGAGCTATTTTGCTAACGTGCAAAAGAGTGAGATAGTAAACCTGTTCACTTTTCTTTTTCTTCTTTTTTTTCCCTCCATAGATGTAAAATTCTTGCGGAAGCGGCGGTCCAAAAGTGTATGTACAAAATACCTTTATTTGTGTATTGAGGGTTATTGCAGAAGCTGTGGTTACGTGGGGGAGATCAGAGGAAACGACTAATACTGTATTTGCGTCGTTGCAGGTCGAGAAACGCTGCCGTCCCGTTTTCCTGCAGCAGATTCACATTTTCTTTTGAGAGCCAAGAGTTACAGTGCTGTACATCCCACTCACTCTCCGCAGTCGACAGACGTTAAAGTGTGTCAAAGAATAAGGCCCGGTAATGTCTTCATCGACTCCAAGCGTGGCGGCGTGTGTGTGTGTGTGTGTGTGGGGGGGGGAAACGTCTGCGGTATTTACAAAGGACGTCCTCTTCAAACAGAGTCACTCAACTGAGCAGCAGCCTCAGAGACTTACAGGCGAGACGCCACAAACTGGCGAGTGGTAGGCGGGCCTTTTGTTGGAAAGAAGAAAGTGTGAAAGCTTCAAGCGTCTGCTGATTGTGAATTTACAAATACGAATTCAGACAACTTTAATTGTGCAGCTTTAAACAGCGATTTCATCTTCTGTCGCTTTAGAGCTGCACAAAATTTGAAGGATTGTCAATTATGTAGCTGAAAAGTTTATCTTTTGGCAACTTGTTATGTTTTTGTGAAAGGGGGGACTTCAATCGATTTAGCAACTCTTAATTAGCATTAAAAAAAAATACAATCGATGGCTTCAATGAGCCATGATCAATAAAACATTAACTAAAAATTACAGTACTTTTTTTTTTTGTCACATTGTTCCCTTACGTATTTCTTTCTTTCTTTCTTTATAATATTTGGTTTTTATGTTCCCCAAACCAGAATTCATCCCAAAAACCAATGGGCTTTTACCATCACTGGGCCAGCCAAATGACATTTCATCCCAAAAACCGCAGTCGAATATTTCACGGCATCACTCCTTATCCTATCAAATCTGAGGGCTGAAGGGAAATCAGGCTTCCATTGATAAAAGGCGCGGTGGAACTGAGGAGGAGGAGGAGGAGGAGGAGAAAGTGCATTTCCTATATCCAAAAATGTGTCGATTCCCTCCCCACCAGTCGAAAACCAATCCGCAAGTTACATTCAAAAGTTTCATGAGCAAAAGGTGGGGAGGAGGAACTGAAGGATAAACTGAAAGGATCTCCTCCAAACTGGGTGAGAGGGGCAGTGGAGTTACGATGAGGAGGGAGGGGGGAAGCTCAGAGACGGACGAGTCTGAAAGAAGCGTCGTGGGGGGGATGGCTTAGAAATCCTCCGCCGCCGTCCACCACCCGCATTGGGGTTTCCGGATGAAAGCTCCCTCCATTAGCTGTGAGAGGAGACGTCCGAGGAGCTGCTGCTATTGCTGTTGGTCGTCTGGGCGCGTTTGATGTACAGGTTCAGTAACTTCATCTGTAAAAAACAAGCAAAGACAAGAGATGTTAAACGTAGCGTGGGATCATGGGAGTCACTGCAGCTTCTCCTGGGTCGAACTCCTTCAGCGTTCAGAGATCAGGAGGTTTTTACAGCAAGTACCCGGTGATTAAAACCGGTAAAAACACTTGCTGTGGCTCACCTTGTGGCAGTCTTACGGGGGGGAACAACACTCCACCATTGACCCAAAGCAACCTCAGAAAAACACCTTAAACCAAAATGCACAATGGACTCAATCTTACCAAGTTAGAAGCAACGACAAAAGGACAAAGGACGATTATCCTGCTCTCCTCTAAAAATAAAAATAAAAACTTGTGTATGATACTCCCTGAATTTGGATTTAAACAAATAGGCAGACATTTTGAAAAGATACCAAAGCATCAAATGCCTTTATACTAATTAACAAACCCCCATTGTCACAGGAGGTAGCAGCGACACAAATCACCCAAAAGACACCAAAATTGTATCCTGGACGAGCCCCCAATCCGTCACAACCTGGCTTATGAGTTATAAGATAATTATAGATTATTTTACATAAGAAAATTAGAAATTAGAAACTAAATACAACAAAATCAAACAGGGTGGAGGCCAGGTGGGAGAGAGAAAGGCTGATTAGATAACCTCGGGGTTAGGACCCGTACAAGGCCTCTGAGGATAAATCTGAAGGGTCACGAGATGATTAACAGGAGAGAAAAACAGGTTTCTGCTCCAAAAATATGCCTATTTTTTTTAGACTTTTGACTTAGATTTATTTTACTTGGCTAAATGTATTTCTTCAGGACAATTAAAATATTATTTTATTTATATTTTCATGTAATAACTTATATGTACTTGTGATGAATGTATCTGGTTTTACAGTGATGCTTTCTATAAAAGTGCTCAGCTCATCATGGATGTTTTTAAAATGAGGAAGACTCCCAAGTGACTGAATGAAGATGTGGCAGCCATTATAAGAGTTGGTTTAATCTTCAAAATGTTGAGGAAATGTTCTTCCTGATCTCAAACAGGCTAGAAAACACAGGAGCGTCTGACGCCTTCATCACATGCTCTCAAACACACATTTCATCACATGTGATTATACACGGAGAGCGGGGGTGGTGGTTAGGGGAGGGTCTCTCCATTCAGGTGAGCATGACCTTCAGACCTCAACTCTTATATAACCCAAGGACACATGTAGTGAAAGTAGGACAAATATGACCCCGTTCTTTATAATTGGACAACCCGGCTGAAACCGGCTGAGAAATAACAACATGGGAAGATGATAAGGCTCAGCGCCTGTTGAAGAAGTGTGTGCATGCGTGTGTGTGTGAATGCAAAGACAGTCAGTACCTTGCTGCCCGTGAGCTGTGCCAGGTGGGGTTTGAGATCCTCGCCAATCACGGAGTAGATAGCCACCAGACAGAACACGCTGGCCTTGCGAACGCTGCTCTCTGTGTTGTCATAGCCCTGCGGAGAAACGAAGGCAGCATCAGGCACCACGCGCACACGGGCGTGCACGCACGTACACAAAAACGAGGGGTCAGCGGGAACGTGGGAGGAGCCGCGGAGAGTGCAGAGTACACGCAAACATTTCCAGGGACAAATAAGGCAAATAATTCCCAGTGTCCAAATAAGAACATTGTCCAAATATGCCTCTTTGGAGCCGACGGGGGATGTTTCTGCTCCGTCTGACGCCAAAAACACTGCTTTTGTAACATTTAATCCAAAGCATTTAACACTGTTGTCTAATGTTTATTTAAAGTTTTTAAAAGCATGTTTTGTTTTGCAAGTTTTATAAAGTATTGAGTTTCCAGTCAGAACAAAAGAAATTAAATAAACTGAATCAAATCTTTTAAAACTATGTAAATATAACAAAAACAATATGATATTTATTTTTAAAACTCTCGGTGTCCGACCTGCAGGAGCCCGGGGATGATGTCCGGCAGCAGCTGCAGTAAAGAGTCCTTGGCGATGCGTTCAATGACTTTGGTTTGCATCTTGATGGCAGCCAGGTTGATGGGGTAGTCGGCCGTCTGCACGATGGGGCACAGCACCTTGATGCACTGCTCGGGGTGGATGGAGCCCGCCAGGGTGGACGCCGCCTCCTCGGCCGCACGCACCACCTGAAAGCATGTGGACGCACACGTTAAGATTGTGTCTTGGTAAAAACATTCCCCACACAAAGATATAACTTTTCATATAAAAAGGTCCTTATTTGGGCAACATCAAGAGCCTACAGGTGTATTTTGGCTCAGCTCACCTGCAGGAGATTCAACAGGTTGGTTTATTTTGTCGTCCGACTTTGACTGCGGATTATTATTGATCTAGAAGTTTCCTCATGTTTTTTGACTCAGTGTTTATTTTGTGTATTTTATGTTCAATTTGTTATCAACATGTGATCTTTGTGTACCCACACTGTGAACCCGCTGCACACTTGATGGATTTCTCTTGAAGTAACACTGAGCGTGTGTTCCTGAGCTACAGGTCAAAGGTCGGACTTATTGTGTTATTGGTATTGTTCTCATATTGATAACCAGATCGTCTTAATAAAGAGAGTACTATAAGTATGGACCTTTTGAACTCTAGCCTATTTATTACGTGTCTTAGGCCATTTATTGGCCACACATAGAAAACTTTTCAAAATAAAAGTAAAAAGATTTTTTGAAATTTGAAAGTTAGTCAAAGGTTTTTTATTAAAGGTTTATTAAATGATAGGAAACGTGAGAAAAACTTGGATTTCTTTCACATCTCGCACAGATCACATCTCGCCTTTAGCTGCTAAAAATGCAGATATATTCCCTCAGGAGTTGTGAAAAATAGGGTTAGGGTTTAAATAAGGTTGCTAAGTATCTGCCTGATGGATAAATAAGCAACAGTATGCTAACACATGATCCATAATATCGTATAATATTGCATTATCAGCTTGTTCTGCTGCCCCTAAATGAAGAAAAATAATAATAACTGTAAAATAATGCACCGTAGTGTATGCTACAGTTTTTTTAATATGGGAGCTGTGTACCTCCTTGTGAGAGTCTTTGTGAGCCTCCAGGGTCTTCATGATGGTTAGCTCAGCATAGTTTTTGAAGCGGGCCGGCTGGTTCCTCAGAATTTCCTTCAGCACACGCAGGGCCAGCGCTCGGATGGTGTGCTGGAGGGGGGGGGGAGCAGTGGCACGAGGAATCAGTTAAAAAACAAAAACATAGCTCTGAAGCTGTTCTGTAAATAGCTGTTTAAATAAATATAACAACTTCTGATTCATTTCAGGCTTAATTAACAACCTCTGGTTAGTCCCGCCTACATCTGGTTTAAGCCCCGCCCATTCCCAGCACATGTACGAATACAGATAATGGTTTACTCGCTCTCATACGCACTTATATTCACTACATTTCCTGAGTTAATGAGGAGTGTGACTCAGTATCCTCTGCATACAAACATTCTCAGAGTCAACGTACATCTTTATCCCCCAGAGTCTCCAGCAGGAGGAGGAGGATGGTTTTGAAGTGTTCGTCCCAAACAGCCAGGCTGTCTTCTCGTGTGATCTTCAGTAGGTCCACCAGGGCGCCCTTACGCTCCTCAGAGCGCTCGTTGTGATTGGACAACTCCTTAAGCAGGTCGGCGACCAGGTCTGAGTGATCCTGGCCGACTGCTTGCAGACAGAAGATGAAGAATAACGCGTTACACACCAAAAATACAGCCGCTTACACCTCGCCAAAACAATTAAAACTTCATCCATCATCTGCATCATCCACCAGTGATTTAATCTGACTGACAGAAGAAACTCTACCGATGAGGTGGGAAGATTTTACCCGTTTCCAATGCAAATAAATCTACGAGTCAAACAACCTCTCGTATTATCTGGCATGTCAAAATGGATTTTAAAACCACTCTCATTTTAAAAATACATGTTCTTACTTGTTTAGTAGAAACCTGCACTTTTAAGAGTGAATATAAAGTCACTGAACGGACGGCAAAGTTAACAATAAAGGCCTAAAGTCATGGCACTGTGGGTCTTCAATTTTAAACTTCAGCAATGAATTTGACATTAAAGGGTCATGAATCTGACCGTATACAGTGGAAGGACGGGTGTGCAACTATTTGCAGTGGTTGCAGAGGTTTGACAAAATGTACTTGTGCCCTTTATTGCTGTGCTGTAGGTGTTAGTGTGATTATTATATAACATATCGTGGTCTCTATAGAGTGCTGCGGGGATGTCCAATCAGTGAGTAAAATGCTATTTTAGGACTCATTCCTGCGGCACTCGGTTCAGCTGTTTATCATGTCATTAGCTTGATAAAACACAACCACCCAAACATTCAGTTGGTTACAGAAAATAACCCATAAGCCATCAGTGAAAACGGTAAAAGCAGGACAGGTTGGACACACAGCTGCAAGGTGGAGTTAAAACAAAGTTAGAAGACCATTAAAATAAACGGTGAAGGGGAATCGAGAAAGCAGAGGGAATAATGCAAACACACAAAAAGGGTGAGTGGAAGTCAAGTCAGTAAATCAGGGGAGGGGAGGGGGGCATCTTTACCAGGAGCAAAGACCTTGGGCAGCGTCATCTTGTTTTCACCGCTTTCCTGACGTCGGCCTGGAGAGAAGGAAGGTTAAGGAGGGATGGAGGGATGGAGGCGGGGAGGTGAGGGACAGAGGGGGGAGGGAGGGTGCAGAGCAAAAAGGATGTGATGACGACAACAACAACAACTGGTGTCTCAGAACAGAGCCGCGCACACACCAAACGTTTGTGGTCAACAGGCGGCAGATAAAGTTCCTCTGTGTTCTGTATCTTGTGTAAACTCGTGAACTCGATGTTTAGCCAGCTAACCGGGGCAGAAGAGATCACAGCGGATAACTATTGCCACATTTATGGTTGATTCTTTGTTTGAAGTGTCAACGTGAGGTTAACAGCTGTAGCTTCTCAGGGTGTCTGCCTGTATGTTGTGACTTTACACAGTGTGTGTGTGTGGTGGAGGGGGGATGGTGGTCGACAGATAACGGAAAAGTCAAGACAATTCCTCCTCAGCAAACAACTAAAAATTCTCTTAAATTAAGATAAAATGTAAGAGTTTAAAGGTTTAAGAGAAAGTTGCTGCATGAGGCTCATTGTAAACCCTGAGCAGTAATCAGATACTGTAAGACTAAATGAATGTTAATGAGAACAAAACATATCAGCTGTCCTCATCTGAGCCTCAGTGGCACATGGGGAGACACCGCTGCCTCTGTATCGCAGTGTGGCTGTATGAGGTCTGACATTAATGCCCTTCATCGAGTAGCCGCAGTGTTCAGACAACTTGTGCGAGGTGTGAAAATGTGTTCAGCTCAAACGTGAACTCACAGTCGCGGAACTGCTCCACGTCATCGTCAAACACAGCCTCCTTCAGGGCGCTCTTGTCGTATGTGCAGATGGTTTCTCCGTAGCCGTAGGGGGCGAACTCGCGGCCCCGAGGCCCAGAGAACGAGCGGGGCGACGGCGTGTTGAGTAGCGACGTCTTGTTGTCCAAGGCGGTGCGACCCCCTTCCACCATGTCTAAGCCCAGACGGGCGTCGGAGCCAGGAGAGGACGCTACGCCTTCTCGTCCTGCCTGTAAGACAGAAGAATGAGAGAGAGGGTTTGGTTCTCTGCAAAGTCTACAGGACCGTAAACGTGGAACATATCTGTACTGTACTCTCCTCTTGCTTGTAATAATTACGGCTCTCCGCTCTAAAGCTCCGACAGTGTATTTACTCATGTAATCAGGAAATAGTTTTTTTTATTGGGAGCACTGAGACTGTTGAGCAGAGTTTATAGAATTAGCCGGTCTACAGTAAACATGCTGGATCAGGAGAGACTCGTCCAGCAGCTCCTCCTAGAGCAGTGTTTCTCATATGGGGGTATGTGTACACCTAGAGGTACTTTGGAATACTACAGGGAGTACGTGAGATGTTAATTTAAAAAAAATCTGACATACAAAATTCCTAAAATAATTATACTATAATAAATTAAATAAATTATTATTTATATTCAATATTCTCTATTGTTAACTGCTTTAAAACCTCATAGAAGAACAAGAATAAGAAAGTATGGAAGCCCATTTCAGCCAGTGTGACAGAAAAAAAAGATTCTGTAAATCATTATAATGAGGAACTTTCTCAATATTTTGAATTAGTATCACAGAGTCATTATTTTGAGAACGTTTCTCATTACAAAATCTTTTTTTTTCATCACATTGGCAGAAATAAGCTTGAGTCAATATGTGGAACGTTTGAGATTCAGTTTCAATGTTAAGCATGTGATGATCTCTTGTTTCAGCCTCCACGGCTGCACTGCTGGCTTAATGAAAGCTGCTCGATGAAGCTGTTTTGACTCACTGCGTCGTCCCTCTTGCCCTCCTGTCTGATCGGCTCATTCAGGTCCTCCTGGCTCCGGTAGCTGAAGCTCTGGATGGCCTCGGTGACGCCGCGCAGCGAGCTGTAGATCTCCTCCGAGTTCATGTTCTCGGTGTCGTACTCCATCATGCTACCGGACACACAAACACACACAAAGAAATTAGATTTATGGAGAAATGTGTTTCTGACGACGAGACGAGAGTGAATTTGTGAATTTGATTTGCCACCATGCAGAGAGCTTTAGCGTTGCTTTTCACACACAAACAGATTAGTTTTTTAGAAATGTATAATTGGACACACAGCACAGCATTAACCAAACATTTGTTAAATGATAGTGTTATATTCATTAGGTTAGAGATGATGGAGTTAATAAGTGTTCAGTGAGAAACTGACATTCGCTCAGCTGGTTTATTTAAAAACAGGAAGGAAAAGGATCAGGGTCTGGCTTCCTTGAGGGAATTATCTCCTTTGTGTCTCGGCCCGCCTCATTACCTGGGTGAATATGCTCTGCGAAGGACCCTTAGGGAGGGGGCAGCAGGGGTGGAGTGGGGCGGAGGAGGAGGAGGAGGGGCAGGGGGGTGCTTTGACAGTCCGTCGACACCCCAACCCCATAACCGACTGTTGCCACAGCGCAGCCGGGAAGGGAAGGATGGACAGACAGGAGGGAGAGAGGCGGGGTGAGGAGAGGAGGATGGGAGTCAACAACGAGGGGAGACGAGACAAGAGAAGGGAGGAGGAGGAGGAGGCGGAGGAGGAAGAGGAGGAGGAAAAACAACAAGTGTGCAGAAAGAGAAAAGACAAAAAGAAACCAGTCTGAGCTTTAGGGTTAAGGGAAAGTGTTAATTCAGAGGAGAAGAGTTGTTCCGATACCGATAACAGCTTCTTCCTCCGATATTGCCTCAAAAAACGGTTTCAGGTGTCAGCGAGTATGCGTCTGCGCACCGATCCGATTCCACGTAGGATAGCAAAGTCATGACCCTGCTCTGCTCTGATAGAGGGTTTAACCTGAGTCAGGCCATTCAGCAATGATAGTAATCATACAGCGTGGTGTACGCCTGTTAAATAAAGGAATATACAGAATATGATTGAGGAATTTTAACTGATGGTGGCTGGCTGGAAAATCCCTCCCTCTCGCTCCTCTCCTGTCCCAGCCGAGTCTTTGTCGTCCCCAGAGTCAGAGTACTGGTTGGAGCCGCCGCAAATCACCTTGTTACTAAATTCCCTGTCGTCAATCTGGTCAAAATAATCCCCTAATTCACAGAGTCAGCTGTCAGGGCTCTAGTATACAGTACTCATATATCTGTTTTTAAACGCACAAGTATCGGATCGGTGCTCGGTATCCGCCGCTACGCAAAGTTCAGGAATCGGGATCGGTAACGGGAAGGACAAAATGGTATCGGAACATCTCTGAAGAGGTGAGCATTGGAAAGTAGCAGAATCCCACAAAACCAGCTTTACGTCAAATAAATACTGAATACTCCTCACGTTTTAGCCAGAATGATCTGAACATGACTTCAGGTTCAGCTGATTACAACCAGAAAATACAATCGCTCCATTATCTGTGTTTATGGGCTTCTGCTTACAGAGAAAGTGACTGTACAGTGGCTGCAGTGCCTGAGCTGCTCAGAGTTCAACTGTATTAACTGTAATTATCAGTCAATAGAAAGCACCCTTATATATGGAAACATCAAAGAGCCTGGTTATCAGATGTTTTACAGCACCAATCGTGTCTGAAGCTGTAAATATTTTATCAGCCGAGTGCACACGAGGTGTTTTGTACATTGTGTTTGATATGTCGCTTCTTTATTTCTACCCCAAAAAAGCTTGAACATGTTCTAACCTCTCTGAGCAGCTCACTCAGCGTCATGCTCCTACCAACCCGCCTGTTAGGCAGTGCGTTAGTTCCACTACAGACCAATCAGGACAGCAGGAAGTATCCATAGAGTTAAACCACAGCCAAGCTTTTGGACAGGAAGTGTGTCGTAGACAAGAGCGGCAGATCGGTGATCGCCTACCTTGGTGAAAGTCCTCCGTGGGAACAGTTTGTTGGAGATGTGAGGGGGCTGGTTCTGCTGGGGGTGTGGCGTTGCGGCGTCCGACCAATGGTGTTGCTCGGAGAACCCTGGAAAGACAGTGAAAGAGGGATGAGCTGTTTGGTTTTTCATTGTTTTGTTTGTTTCTGGTGCCTTGATTTTTATGCTGTTTAAAGAAATTGTGTCTGACTGTAAGATTATTATTATTATTATTATTAATCTTTGATTAAAAAGGTACAAATTCTTAAATTCAGCTCAATAAAGTGACCAGAATACTTAAGAATACATAAGAATCTTAACCATTGAGGCACCTTTAAAATAAAACATACACTTTTTAACGTTGGGTCCCAAAATGGTCCCTCATAAAAGTGTAATAAAAATGTCATATATAAATATTTCTTTTCACTTTCACCACATCAAATCTTTTCAACAACTTCAGACGTTTTTTATGTTTTTTGCCGTTTTTGTCATAAAAACACTTGATTTTTCTAAATGGGAAAAACACAAAATATGAATATTTTCCAAAAAAGAGGTGCAAAGTGGAATATTTGGGATGAGGTTATAACAGCTTTGACTAGGTCAATAATTGATAACAACATTGATTTGGATGCATTATTATTTTTGGAGCAATGAAAAAAAATCTTAAATTCAGCTCAATAAAGTGACCAGAATACTTAAGAATATATAAGAATCTTAAATAACTGAATTTTCATTGCTTGTAATAAGTACAACTTGCTTAAATTTTGGCATTTCTTCTAGTTTTAAGTCTCATTACAGTCTCTGCTAGTTGTACGAATTCTAGCCAGGCAAAATTATTACCCCACTCGCCAAAAATGTTATTATATTAAGAAATATGTGGCTTTTATTGGGCTGTTTTGTGGTGTCTGGCTTCTGTATGAGTGTAACCAAAGACTACGGTGTTTCCTTTGACTCACCACACTGCTGCTGTTGCTGGAGTTCTTCAGGTGGTTGTGCAGCAGCTTGGTGGCTCCGTCCTGGAAGGTTTTGGGCAGAGCTCCGAGCAGCATGGTGAACTCTGGCGTGTTGAGCTCGAACAAAGAGATCAGCACCACCTGGGCCGCCTGGAGGCAGCGTGGTTACACGTTAGGATGGAGAACACGACGGCTTAGAAAGTTCAGATGGTTTCCTTGGTTCCAGAAGTACCTTAACCATGTGTTTCTAACAGAGTGAGTCAGAGGAGCTGTTCTGACATTTCTTACTATATAAATGAAGCACAGACAGAACCGACTGACTGACGAATGAGTGTAATCTTGGACAATTTCCCACATGGGCCAATCCGATGCGAATGTTAATAAAGGTCGAAACAATTCTGGAACCATGGAAACCCACTTTTCTGCTCCACAGTGCACTTCTTGGTAGAATAAGGAATGCATTAAAGCCTGTAGAAAGAAACTGTTAAAAGGTGAGTGTTCAAAGCTGCATTCAGTGGAAAACTAATGAAGTACACGACTGTTCAGGGGGACGTTGTTTCTATATCAGTGTTGCAACATGCAAGTGAGTACAGATCAAACCTGAAGAGGGGCTGGAGAGAGGGCTACATAAGCTACAGTAACTTGTTAACCTTTAGCTGTTTGTTTTTAAGCTATATGATGGTACAGTCACTACATGGCAGGAAAAATAAAATGGGTGTATTTCATGTTGTTTTTCCTTTTGGTCTGAATATATTGTGAGATTGAGAATGGTTCCCATCATGCTTCAGGTGATGTAAACGTTGCAATGTGAGTCAAAGAGTTTGGGTTTTGGTTTGTTTGCCTACATTTGTTAACATTTTGGTGAGTCATTCTCCACCAGCAGTGGTTTAGTGTTGCCTGGGGAAGTGGCTCTACCTGTGTCATAAACAGTGACTACTCTTACATGTTTAGCTCATCCAGTAGGATTTAACTTGAGCTCCTTGTCTTCAGGTAGTAGGGATCATTATGTGATTAACACAGGTGCAGATTTTTCAGTAAATACTGGCCCACAAACTATGGTGAGACAAGTATTCCTTATTCCTTACTCCATCCATTCAGGAATATTGGACAACTATGTCGTCCCTTTGCTTCACCATCCTAGGAAGAAAAATGTATCTCCCACAACACTACAGAGTGATGTTCAGACATCAGAGGAGATTTAGAAGTAGGTTTACCCAATGTCGACTGAGAAATAAGTCGGTATACTCTGTACACCTGCGTTCTGCACTACACCACTGGATGTACAGACAGCAATCACCTTGATTCACTTTGATAAAGAAAAATCTAAATTTGGTGATTATGAGGCGAAATCTGAGGTAAAAAACATCAGTTTTAAGTCCTGTATGTTTACTCATAATAGACTTTGAACCCAAAACTGCTGCTGTAGTTTGGGCTCGGACTGAATTAGATTATTTTTTCTTCAAATATATATAAAATATTTTATTGATAATGTATGCAACTGTAACTAATAAGTCAATTTGTAATTGATTAGTTTTTGATAATAATCACAAAAATGTTCACTATATTATTTGCACAATGTAGTTTACTTTAGCTTGTAATAAACATAAGGTTATTTGTTTATTCATTTATTTTAGGAGGAAAAACAACTATAAATGTTATTAATGTAATTTAATATTTTCAAATCTGAAGGTGATTTTAATAGATTTTTTTTTAAATTGAAAATTAAATTTGTGATGCAAAAAAGATAATTCCCACTAATCTGTCAAAATAATTGCAATATGATGTTTTTAAAATGTTAGTCTTATGAATCTCTCTTTTCGTACAGTAATAAAATGTTAACAGCATGCAGGTATGCAGGTGGATGAGAGGTTGTTAAGGTGAGTGAGACGAACAAATCGTGTTAGGCACACAGGAGTCACAAAACAGCATTCCTATCGATGTTGAGCAATAAAATTGGCTTAAAAAGATCCATTCATACAAAGCAACAAGCATTGCCTGTCATTTGGAAAAATACTACGGTTAAACCAAATTCTTTTCTGGTTGCACAACAAGCTCAATCTATCTGGTGAGTGATCAATTTGCAAGGCGCAGACTGTTTTTTTTTAGGTTGTTACAGCAAAACAGCTAAAGCGTAAAATGGTAGAGGTGAGTGAGAGATGCCACACTCGAGTTTTCTCGGTTCTTGAAGGTGTTGGTTAGGGCACCGGGGCAGGCGGGGGCATTGCGTGCTTATCGTGTTGTGATTGGCTGTTGGCTCTACCTGTTTACACCTTTCTTCCTGGTTGCCCTCAGCGGACAGTAAGGCTGCAGTACTGGACCTGCCAGCTAGCTCGTCAGTCACCCAGTTATGAAGGGTCTGGGGTCACAGTGGCAAGGCAGAATGGGCGTTACAGCAAAACAAAAAAGGTCCTCCACCGTCACAACAGGATGCAATACTGAACCAAACCTTTCACAACAACCTGGCATCCATCTTCCCAGATAAAAGCATATTTGTATTCATGAAAACAAACTAAAGTCCTCGTAGATTCATTCTCAGCCTGCCCCGGAGGGTCGAGGCTCTGATGTGAAACTAGGTGAGGATTTCATTTTCAAGAGCAGCGGTGGAAAAACAAACAGGGGGGACACAGAGGGAGAACACATGACGCGCATCAGACAAGGGGAAGATAATGGGCCGTTGACCCAAGGCCATCCACACGGAGAGTACCTATTATCAGAGTTTACAACTGCTGCTGAACAAACACTGGCAGGCTGAAGAATTCAAACCATGGAGGTATCAAAGGTGCTGCTGTGGCTGTGGAGTGTTTCTGATTAAAGGTGGGGTATGTCGATCTGATCCATCATTAAATATCTCCTCGGTCTGCTAGCTTTCCATTCTGTGTGTCAGGTAAGGTTAAATAAGCCCAGCTCACTTTCTGCTTTTCCAAGATACTGCTGTTGTTGTGGTGTTAGCTATAGTAGCAGCTGGGAAACTGTCTCGTAAGCTGGGTTTTGCGAACCATTGAGTAACAAAACAGCGAGATGTCTAACATTATGGCGTCTGTGGGCGGTATTTAGTTTAATAGCTGCAGTAAGGCCTATATCTTCTCCAGAATCGCATACTCCACCTTTAACTGTTATGTTTTCTTTCAGGGACAATAGATCTGTTCTGTAAATATAAACACTAAAATATCCATCTCATTTCACCTTTCTTTATGTAACGTCATACTAAACAAGTCTCTAAGCAGTTAGCTTTGCACTAAGCTCACTCACTTGTTATTATAACATTTTAGTACGTAGATTATACGTCCATACTAATAACTGGTGTCATAAAAGGAAAGATGGCTTAAGCTTGAAGCATTAGAGTTCAGTTGCAGACCTTAAATGTCCTGGTTTAGATGTTTATGCTCTCTATCACAGCTTGTTAAAATTAAAATAAGACATGAATATCCTCTAAACACTCCTGTGATAGAGTCAGAAGGCAAAACATACTAAATACATTCATCCTAAAAAAAGGGAATAAAAAAGACATTATTCTGGAGGAAATTACTCATTAAAGGTTTTAAGGTTTCCAATGTAAGTGCTGAACAACGAGACAAACCAATCAGGGCCTACCTTCCTGACGTCAGAACTTTTGGGTTCAGTGGTCCAGGTGATGATGCGGGAGACGGCCAGGCGGGTCTCGCTGGAGTTGACAAAGTCCGTCGGGTCCATCTGCCGAGCCAGAGACTCGATGTACTTCAAAATGGCCACCTTGACCTAAAGACACAACAACAAGTCAGTCACGTGTCTTACTTTCAAACTAACCAATCAAAATCCTCCTTCCTATAAATAAAAATGTGCTTTACCTTGAGGTTAGGTGTCTGAGTCTGATCCACGATAAACCTCATCAGGATGTTGAACTGTTGGTCAAACGGGAAGGACTCCCTGATAAACATAAAGAATTACTGATATTAGACTGTTTATCCTGTGCTGCAACATTAATGAACAAGCTTTAGATTATGAGACTGAGCTCCCACTCTTTTTAATAAATCAGCGAGTCACAGACATCCACTGTTGTTATTGTAGCTCTCTATGAATATACGTATATATTCATATATATGTATATAAATAACTGTATACATTGTTTTATTTAATTTTATCTTGTATGTTATTCTTTGAATTGTATTATCTTTTTCTATGTATGTAGCATGAAGGACTGCAAACGTTCATTTCATCATACATCCCTGTGTTGTATAATGATAAATAAATGTCCTCGATTCGTTGATGATACAACTTTATATTTATACAGCGACTGGACAAAAAAGGAGATCACTTGGAGAAAAGTAAGAGAGGAAGTTTGATGACCTGTTAAATGCTGAAAATAAGTTTCTCTTACTTTATTCCAGCGATCAGTTTCCCTTTACTATGAACTACGTTAGAACAGCCCCGACCAACCAAACCATTCAGAAAAGTGTTTTAAAAGTTACTTGCTCGCCATCTTACGGACAGACAAAGACGAAGTATGAATTCAGACTTTTTACAAATCCTCATCATTATGTAGTTATTTCTGCATCATTCTGATCTGTTTATTGACATTAAATCTGTTGGGTTCATATCGCTGCAGTAAATTAACACGAACGATCCTGTGCTCATAACCACTCCGTATTGCTGTTATTAAATGATGTGAGATTGGAAGTTTGGAAAGTTATCTCTTACTGAGGACACTGCAAGGTTTATTACTCGTGTCTAACTTCGTCACTGAATTGAGGGTGTGAGGAGGTGAAATGCTGCCCCCCCACCCCAAATGTGGCCAGGAATTACACATTGCTCCTTTAATGGATAGTGAGGGTTTTGTTACTGATTGGTTTATTTCACAGTTCAGTCCAAACTGAAGAAGCACAAAGGTTACTAAGCTTTACACCAACTAACAGATTAATGGAACAGTGTGAATATCTCCCTATCCAAGTGGAACAGCCACTAATCTTTGCGTCTCTGTGACCTGGCTTGCGTTTCAGACCTTGTGATATCCAGGGCCTTCTGGACTTTGGCCTGGACTGAGCCCAGCAGATCGGCACCCATCTTCTTCAGCAGCTGAGTGAGCAGGACAAAAAGCCAGTCCTGCAGGTCCTCCCTGTGCACCAAGACGAAGTCCACCAGAGTCTCCAGGAACATGCTGAACACCTGAGAGCGAGTTCAAGCGTTTATTACACAACACTGCCTGATTTGACTTAAACGGCTCATTAAGGTTCATTTCTTTTTTAGTAACGTACACTTACTCTCTGTTGTTAAATCCACAGCAAGGCAGACCATGCAACAAGAAACACTCCATTAGTTTTCAAGTCAAAGCTCCATAAATTATTGTCATCATTAGTTTTAGTGCTTCAGTTGGTTCAGTTCATCCTCTTTACCTTGCTATGTGGGTCTGCAAACATCCTTGTGAATATCTCACAAAGTCTCTTCAGCTCCACTCGGCTGCAGTGACAGAAAGACACACAGGAAGTCAGTAACGCAGGGCGGTAAGAGTGATAACACATGTTATAGAGGCTGTTTTGAGCTGTTGGCTTGCCCTTTGGTGGGCTTTGGGCACAAAAAGTTGCATGAACCACAGGATATCTTTATTAATTAAGTGTGTTCCAGTGAGCTCTGATAAACTTTCACGTGTTTGCAGTCTGAACGGGCACTCGGGCACCGTGGAAATTACCAAAAATACGTCACACAGTCGGCACTATCGCCAATACCGCAAGCGTAGGTATTGGGATGGACAGGTTATGGAGCTTTTTTCCACTCATGTCCTGTGGGATAGAATGATGTTATGCTAAACATTTCCTTAGTCACAATATGCAGTCAAGAGTCCCCTTCCAACGCCACCAATTTTGTATTTTGGTAACACCGAGAGAATCATGTGTGCTTTCATATCCTTGTGCCTGTAAAGTATAGTAAAATATCCTGATTATGTTGCCATCCAGAGACTACAGAGTGCTCTCTCTCATTGTATGTCCTACCATTCAGAGCCATTACACAATAAAATCAGGCTTGAGCAGGCTGGACCTCGATTACCACAGCTCACATCCCACCTCAGTATTCTTTGGCTCTTGAGGAGATTCTGCAGGCCCAGCAGGCCCTCCTTCCTCTCCGACCAGTTGGAGCTCGCGCAGTGGTTCAGGATCTCTGCCACATCCTCCGTCTGGCGCAGGTAGTGGGGGATGCCTCCGTTCCTCGAGCCGTACGAGCGCTCTGAGCAGGCGCTGGACGCGTCGCTGTTGGCGTCGTCGTCGGAGTACATCCCCGGAGATTCGTACCGCCGCCTCAACGGCTTCCTCTGTGGGAGGAAGAAGAAGGTGAATGTAGGACACGCAAGTGTGATACCTAAACGTTAACCGAGCTCTGCAGGAGGAGTGCGTAGGCAAATGAACTCAGCCATGAGGTAAGGATCTTTGATACAGTTATCAGGTAGCCATGCAGTTTTCTGTACTGTTGTGTTCATTGTTGTTTGTCTTTAAAGGTTAAGGGTCGATCTGATTCAGTATTGTTATCCAATTCCTCAGTTAAAAATGTTTAAAATGAACACCAAAAGCCAGTGATGCAGTGCTACAAGTAAGCAAAGGTCTTGACTACGGATGCAATGCAAACAGTAGAGCGTATTTAATGTCATGGACTTTTGAAAATAATAAACACATGAGATTCAACACATTAATATCACAGTATGAAATTAAAACTTGGGGTACCACAGATGCATTCATGGTAAAATCAATAAATAAATGAAATAAAAAGGGGGTTGGGGTGGAAGGTTTTATGAGCCAATATAATGAGGCAAGCTGCGTTACAGTTCTCTGAACTTGATTAGTGTGTGATGGATATATGAACAGTATGTAAAATGACCAACTACCTTATTCCTGGAGTCTCCTAATAGCTGGAAATGGTAACAAACAACCAAGAGGGAAAGAGGAGAGAGGGAAGGTTTAAAGGAGGAGCAGAGAACAAGTACAGTCCTTCTGCAAGAGAGGACCAAAGTAGACATTTCACATTTTAACTGATACGAGCGAACAGTTGAGATATTCTCCATAAATAGAGGTATCCAAGTCATTATAAGACTTACAAAAGTGGACTCATTTATTTTCTGTTCAGAGATTAAACTAGTCAGGACAACAACAACTACAATTATTTATTAAAGGTTATACAATTTTAACCATTAATATATCAGCAAACATTATATTCTCTATATAAAGACACGGAGTCACATGGTGTCTCTCTCCCTCTGCCTGTGTTGTATCGCAGCCTCTCTGTGGTTTGTTTCCATAGCCGGTCTGCTCCGACTGAAACTGCTGTTTTTATCATCAATGTCGGTGAATTAAGGATTTATTTCCACCAAACCAGAGTTGGTGATTGTTGGAAACACTAACAGCAGTGAATTTCGTATATCTAACTTTTAACTAACATGAATGTATTGACGTTTACAAAAGCAACTTACCAGAGCATCAGCAACTGCTGCCTCCACCTCTGTGCCGGTGTTAAGCACCCTCATGGCGTTGACTGACGCAGAGATTCTTGCTTGGTGAATCAAATTATATCGGTCTAAACAGGAAAAAGAAAAAGGTAAGAGGAAGATGGTGAGTGAAGCTTAGTGATAAAGGAAAAGTGGCTGCTGGGACTTACCTGAGTGGACAAAAGCAAAGGATTATTTTCTCACCACATAAAGAAAGTTTGAATATAAAGCAATGCACTGTACATGAATGAGCTGAAAAGACCAAGAGAGGGGAATATTCTCCAACCACCAAAAGCAAAATGAAAAGATGATACGAAAGAAAAAACCCAAATAAAGAATGACCAAGCCCTTAGGGAAGAGCACAGGCATACATTGCAGCTATGCCGTTTCCCCAGAAGATGATATAAAGCACCAACGATGCACCAAAGAGGAGAAACCGAAATATAAAACAACAAGGATGAAAAAAAACACATGGAGGTACGCCGAGTCAGCACGTAAAAGGCTGTCGATCTCAATTCCACAAAATCACAGCTAAAATGCAAAAAGTATGTATAAGGCACTGAAAGTGGATGAAAAAATAATTTTTCTCTTAACATGCTGAACAAATACAACTCCATTCTTACCTTTCCTGTTTGCTAAACACTGAATAAAATAAAAAATACTGGAGGGAACGTAAAATAATGGGATGACGCTGTACAACCACTGAAGCATGCCGGTTCAGCGGGCACTACTGCCTCTAAGGTAGGGCGTTTTGGGGGGTGGGGTGGGGTGGGACTGGGAGGTCTGGGCATGCAGGTCACCTGACTGGCTGTGGGGGTCGGCTGTGGAGAGAGCGCTGGTTGAACGGGAGTGACGTCGGGAGGCTGCGGGGGGACAGTAGAGGTGGGCGACATCCGGACCAGGGGGGTTAGTGACAGACAGGTTTAACACCAAACCTTTTAAAGGTAAGACTCATTTTCACACTGCTGCACTCGCCATCAGATTCCACTGCATGCTCTCTTTCTGTTCATGAATTATTATTGATATATGACGTAGGAGAGTAGGTCCTGATCAAAAGTTGTACAAAGAAAGTAAGTCTAAGTGTAAGTAGCACTCATAACAGGATGTGATGTCATATTTCTGCGTAGGTTTGTCCGATTAAAACGAGGCTGAGTGCAAAATTTGGTGCAAATCGGCCACTTTTTATTGCTCGTAAAAAGAAGTTGCGTTAAAACGTTAAATAAAAAGTTTCAAGAACACATGAGCTGAACTCAGTATCGGTTAATATGCAAAGTTCCAGTATTGGAATCGGTATCAGGAAGGAAGAAATGGTATCGAAACATCTCTAACATTACTTCTCCTTTATAAATCTTTTAAATTAACTTGCTGACAAAAAAAAAACAATTACGAGTGGCTCCACTTGGCCTTTACAGAGATTTTAGTTAGTTCTGCAGTGTGAAAATGGTCACAACTAGATGAAATACATTTGGATATACAGTACAGAACAGTAGGGGGAGGGCACAGAATTAAATACGGCCACAAGATGTGTAATTCAACAATCTATCTGCTTTTATAACATAAATGAGGCTTAACTGACTAACTGAACTCAATTCGTTTCAACAGAAACAACAAAAAAGTGTCTATGCTTTGTGTCTATGCTTTGCTTTGCTATCAGCACTGACAGTCCTTAAGCTTGGCTCTAAGGCACAAGGTGACATACTCGTCCTCGTTAAAGCTGCAGTAGGTAACTATAATCATAAAGCAATGGCTGCAGATATTTTCCAGCATGCCATAGCCAAGAACTATAAAAGCACTACTGTAGTGTGCATTGGTCGCAGGAACACTGACTGCTTGCCATTTCTGTTTCTCAAACTTCTTCCTATATTTGTGCTTTTCCACTAAATTAGCTCTGGTTCTTGAACTGGTTACCTTGGCTCTATCTACCAGTTTTAAGTGGAACCATTGTAATAAAGGATGCACCAATGTTCAACCACCTGTAGAATATGACACGCCCACTCTGACACACTAACTTTTTGGGCTGTGAACCAACTTGTTTTTGGTGAAAATGCTTCGAACGGTATGAAACTAGGTGTGCAAACCGAAACGGAGCCAGTTCCCTGTTGGTGGAAAAGGCCTAATCTTTAATGACAACTTCAAATCACAACATTTGTACACAGATTCAATCAGAAACAATTCAAACATTAACTTAAAACAGATGGTACTTTGTCATTTATACCATCTTAAAACCCCGACAGGAGGTTAAAAGTAAGTTGTATCCCCCAGAGAGATCAGTAAACTCAGAGTCAGTGCATGCACAGAGAAAGACAGGCAGAGGTAGCACGGCCATAAGACACTACAAACACCAACAACAACAGGAGGGAGGCTCGTGTAAGCATCTGGTAAAGACTGTCCGGCTGGGACACTCACTGGGAGAGGAAGTCCGGTAGCCATTAGCTCAGCGGTACTCACCCAGAGGAGTGAAGCCCCGAGCGGGGCTGGTGTCGCGGCTGCTCTCGCGACTGGTGTCGCGACTGCAACCCTGACTCATGCTGGGCCGGGGAATGCGGCTCCGGGCTAGCGTGCGGTAGGGAAGAGCAGCAGGAAGAAGAGCTTTACCACACAGGCTGGCTGTCAGGACAACAAGTTAGGTGGGAATGTCAGTGGGCATTCATGGGGGGGAATGTGGATCAGAAAGGAGGAGAAGAACAGGAGGCAGAGGTTGTGAGAGAAGAAGATTGAAAGAGAAGAAGACCTTGAGGATGCAATATTCACTATACAGAAAATGGTGATTTTGATGTCATTATACCTGGCTTATAAGGCGGCACTAAAGCGCTCAGTAGGAATAGGATGATGTGAAAATTTCATGTCACCATTATCCTGGTCAAAATAATTGCAATTACCGATATAATCCTGATAATCAGCAGTAAAACAGGGATCAGCAACTTTTACTAGCAAATACAAAATCTGTCCGGAGCCACAAAACATGTTTAAACCTTATAATGATGATTAATCTTAATCTTAATCTTTATTTGGATTTCGAGTCCATAGCTAGCCTAGCTAGGGAGATTCAGCTACTGACAATCAGAAAAATATAGAAGGATGACGACGACGCATTTTAGTTGACTACAACAATGATAAATTAAATTATTAAAAAAGTCCTTTGCATATCCGTTTTTTGTCAAAGGCACAGGGAGCCATAGAGGGGAGATGGGCTATGTTTAGTTAAGCCTTTATGTAATAGTTTAGGCTAATGTATATATAATATATGGATTATCTGATATATCATCTCCCTAAATAGAAACCAGGGTGTCTGTCTGCGTAGAGAAGATAAAGAAGAAATGAAGCTGAAGAGAAGAGGAGACAGTAAAACAAGAGAAAGAAGCAGTGGCAGGATGCTGGGTGAGTGAGTTGGTCAAACAGCATACTGCTAGTAAGGTTAGATACACTCAGAAGAGCAACTCAAGCTTCTGTTAATGTGTGACACAGATTAAAAGGGTTTGTACCTTAGATATTAAGAACATAACACATCAAATTGTGTTAAAAACTGTGAAAACAGGAGGAACATGAACGGTTTCCTCTTATCAAAACAAACCTGGAAACTGAACGAAAATGAAGAGTCTGCAGTTAATCACAAACATTCAATATTTCTTCTGAAGGAAACAACTTTTCAGTGACACATAAAGATCAGCCAGTCCGTTAAAGAACCAACCCTGACAACTTAAGGACGTTGAATCAGACGGTCAGGAGAGGTATGACTGTCTGGGTTTCTGTCCAACGTTAGCCAACCTCGCTACCAAACACTTATCTTTCTACAGACAGGATTCCACCGTGTCTGTGGTTTCAACCTCAGGTTCAAGTAAGAGTGTTTACCGTCGTCTACAGATGTTTTCAACTACTAAAACAATCATATGTCAGAATATATCTGCGAGGAATGTTTACTTGAAGACAGGAATGTGCTTAAGTGGGCTAGCATTGTGAGCAGTGTGTGCCGGAGCCCTGAGCTTACCGATGCCCAGTCGGCTGGGGCTGGTCTCGCGGCTGCAGCCCTGGCTGCGAGGGATCCTGCTGCGCTTGTCTGCTGGCGTGGTGGCGGCCGACACCGTGGCTCGAGGGATCCGGCCGTAGCTGCTGTGGCCGAGCAGCTTGCCTGGGGAGCTGGAGCGACTGCCGGCTGTCGGGAGAGAGAGAGAGAGAGAGAGAGAGAGAGAGAAAGAGAGAGAGAAGACAAGCAAACGTGTTGGTTAGATGATATTTAGAGTGGCTGAGACACTGGCTGGGATTAAGGTGAGGGAGTGGTACAACCTTTAATAACATGCTTGGATTGAGTCAAATCTCAAAACACAAGCCCTGTGCAAAAGATCCAACACTGTGGGGACAGTGCAGCAACATAAAAGGTAACTACTGTAACGCCTTCTTCTACTCAACTTACGTTTTCTGGATTTGAAAATGAATAAATACTATATCAGTGACAACACAGGAGCTGGAGGCAAACAGAACTTCACAGGAAATTAAATCAGAGTCTGAATGAACAAATACAGATTTTACACTGCAAAAACTGAAACTCGAGAAAGTAAAGAAGCCCTTTGGGGAAATGAGTCTTATATTTTATCTAAAAAGAACAATAATCTTCTTAAACATGTGCTGCATTGGAAAAGTAATCTTGTTTTATGAAGATATTGCAGATAATATGTTTAACCTGTAACAACAATGATTTGCATAATATCCCAGCAGAGGAACAAGATCATTAGACTACTTGCACAACAGTTTAAGAGGAAGTCGTATTGTCCCAGTGTTGGAAGAAATTATGACTTATTGTAAGATTAAGGTACAAATTCCCAAATTTAGCTTAATAAAGTGACCAAAATATCTATTTTTTTCTAGTTTTGAGGCCCATTACAGTCGGTTTTAAGAATTCTAGCCAAGAAAAAATGGCGTACGTCATTGGCAAAAAATTGATTATATTTAAGAACATTTGGCTTGTTTCTAGAAGGGCTGTTTTTGCAGTGTACAGCCTAGACACACACAGGGTGGGTGGGGGGTGCTGGATCCTCCTTCTAACCAACTGTGCTGGTGGGGAGACATTTACTGTGGCACAAGTCACCAATGGGAACATACAACTCATCAACAGTGAAAAGACTACAAACACAACAAAATGGCAGACAGCAAACATTTCCGACTCCAGACAGCTTCTCAAACTGTGGAGGGGGGGGGGAGAATAAAAATCTGAATGTGATGAGCGGAGCATGCTGCTACTGTACGTGGAGAAAGAAACGTGAAAGGCTAAAAGACAGGCGTGCAAAGCTCTGTGTGCTAAGGGGGGGCTTGTGATTGGATGAAGCTGAGGCCTTACCACTGATGGGATTGGCTGATCTGGATCCTGGGTGATGGAAGCAAGAGGCAGGACAGGGTGGAGAACGGTCAAAATGAGACAGAAGGGGGTTATGTTTATCGACTTTACCCAGCATGCACTCCCGGAACGTATACAGAAACCGACACACACACACACACACACGCACACACACACACACACACACACACACACACACACACACACACACACACTTAGATACTGAAAACATGAAAACAGTGCATGCAGTTGGCGCAATTGCACGAACACACACAAGATTTGTGAGTGACTGGAGGTTATTTTTTTAGGTTGCTGTAGCGCATGAGAAACAGCACACACACATACAAGAAACAGCAACAACATGTAGTATGATCTGAAAGCCAGTGCAGGCAAAGATCATACTGAAATATGAGGCTGGTATGCAGTACGCACACTGAAAGCTGATTGATACTGAATGTGACTGATTTTAATTCACCATATGAGAGCATGTGTGAGGTGCATATATACATACGCTGGGACTGGGAGACAACTTTGGCACGGCTGCGGCCCCTACTGTCCACCACTGATGTACTGGCCCCGCCCACGCTGCCCGAGCTTTGTCTCCTGGTGCGAACGCGACCTGGATGAGAAGGGGGAGGAGCAATCGGGTCGGAGAGGGGAAGAGAGGCAGGGAAGGCAGTTTAATCCATGGGAATTTTTTTAATTTGTGAGCATATACCCCAAAACCCTGGACAGAGATGCTGGAGGAGAAAAAGTCTGGGGAAACAGAATGACCTGGACGAGGGGACGGAGGCCCCCCCTGAAAACACATAGGAGGGAAACAGACAAAAACCTGGGTCCATTAGCATTTGCAAATAATTCTCAGCGTTCGTTCCACGGCCCTTGGAGGCTGTCCTGCAGACATGGGAGGGTCGTCAGCTGACCCATGATCTCTTCCTACAGCTTGCCTCCACCCTGCTTCTTTTTGTCTTTTGTCTTATCATTTTCTAAGTTAACCTTAGTTTCATAAATTACTCCCGTTCTGTCTCATTCCCTGAGCCAGTTTGTGATAAATGGGGGCTCGTCCGGGGTCAAAACCTGTTTGGTAAAGTTTGAATCCAGCCTTAGTGTGACAAATTAGGAGTTGTTGATTGGTATGATTGGTAAGATTTTATGTATCATGCAAAGATTGATAAAGTTTATTTCGGTGGATGTTTAAGGGAGAAGCATTTTTGTCTGGTGCATGTAATCGGTGAGTACAGCCTCTAAAGATAAAGATGGACGACATGACAAGTCCCCAGAAAGGTGAAGCCAAAAGGTAAGTAGTTCTTATCACGCTAATTTTACAGATAAGTTTGGTTTTAATCAGTTATTTGAAGCTATAAAAAGGGGGTTTCAAGTCCTGATTGACTACTGTGCAGACTTCACCAGTGCACCACGGCTGCTGCCGAACCCAGGATATTTTGGCTCCGTCCATCTTTATGTATGTTAATGAGTTAAACATGGTTGAGGTTTGACCTGCAACATTGCACTAATGCTAGCTAAGACATTAACCACAGAAAAGCACAGGTTAAGTGACTTTTAAGAAGTGCTAAAAACAAACCATAAGAAATATTGGCAAACTGTTTGACCCAGGTCTGGAGAAAGACAGACAAACATTCAATATCCTTTGCAGCTACCTATATGCTAATGTAATGAAAACTATAATACACTACCCACCTCTTACAATGAGTAGAAACACATTCTGTATTGGAAGTTGAGCTAATGAAACACGTAAGTGACAAACTGAGAGACTAGTTTCTAGCTAAATCTCAAATTAGCATATCAGGGTAATGCTACATTAAACATGCAGAGGGTCTGAAGCTGTTGGTCACATTTAACATGAAACATCATCATCGTAACCAAACACAACTCGACCTGAAAACAACCTAAAGAACATCCTAAAAGCATCTTTCAGCTATCCACAGATAGTGGATATTTGTTTACACACCAATAATAAAACTCTCACTTCCAAAGCACTGTTATAAAATGCGCCAGGTGTGATAAAAGCGAGTCCTCAGGAGGATTTTATGATAAGTTGGGGGCAAAAGCCATCTCACCTAGAACATCTAGCGTAGCCTGTTACACAACAAGCCGAAAATAGCACCTGGAAAAAGGTTGAAACGCGATAACAAGAATTACACAGCAAGCTAAAAATAAACGACTCCTTGAAGGTGTTACTATGTGCAATAATCTCCTCCAGTTTATCAAGATGAAGTATAGTGTGCCAAAGTACGCCTGATCTTCCCCTCAGTTTCATTTGCATTACCACTGACTCCAAACGTTCATGCTACATCGTATGCAGTCAGAGACCAGGTTTAACAACAACCCTCCACATAACAAAGGACAGTTAAAGGAGCAATGTTTAAGATATAGCCAGAATTATAGCTCATTAAATTCATAGGTAGCGCATACGAGTTATGTCAAATGAGTTGTGTTGCAGAGATATCTACTGAAATTATCTTGCTAATCTGACTAGGGCAGACAGGAAGTAAGCGAGGAAGTATGTGTCTGTTACTCGATTCCATCCTTTACGATGAACCAAGTTAGCATAGCCCTGATCGGTCCGAACTCCATTCATAAAACAAGCATTTCTTTGGCCTTTTTTATAGTTACAGCCAAAGATAGACAGGAAAGGGGGGCAGAGAGGGAGGGGAGGACACGCAGCAAAGAGCCACAGGTCGGATTCGAACCCGGGCCGCTGCAGAAACTCCGTACATGGGTCGCCAGCTCTACCTAGCTCTTTGGTCGTCGTCTTACCGACAGACACGACAAAGTATTAATTCAGACTTTTTACGAATCTCCATCATTGTCTAGTTATTTCGGCCTCATTTTGTTCCATTTATTTTAATTAAATCACATAAAATACGGTAAAAACATCATGTCTCGATTATTTTGACGGATATTTTGTTTGTGAAATAAATTATAATTAGTGTAGGAATGATCATTTTTGAATCACAAATTTAATTTTCACTGGGTCTGTACAAAATAAACCTGTGTTCTTAAATCTGGAGAATAAGATGTGTAGGGCAGGGCATCTCTGCAGCACTACAGTTCTTCATTATAATGCTGATTCTATCCCCAAAAAAGTCTTCTTTGACTTTTTTGGATCATGTGGCCCAAACTTACACATTGCTCCTTTAAAAATCTCGGATATGACGTCAAATTTGGTGCTTATTTGGTTCATGAAACGTTGCAGCGCACCGACTGTTTGAGTGGCGCATCAGTTTCTGTGAAGCAAGAAAGAAACCAAGAACCTTTTTTTTTTTCCTATCAGATTAAACACAAGAAACAAGAAGAGTAGATGGATACAGCTGTTAGGGTTACAGTCAGAGAAGGAAATCCATGCAGACAGTCCATGCAGAGTTCCACATTAAGTGACGACCACTCAGGGGAGGAGGAGGATAAAGAGAGGAAAAGTGGGCACAGATGAAGCGAGAAAGGATGTGTAGCCCGTGACAGCTGACAAAAAGGACACACTCATACATCTTCACTTTCTTCTGTGCACTTTGCACACACACACACACACACACACACACACACACTCACACACAGACAGACACACAAGTCTTACCATCGCTTTTACCGGGAGTGCCATCTTTTGGGCATTTAAGAAAGGCGGTGCAGCAGCGAGTGGGAGGAGAGGTATAGAGGAAGACATTAGTAGCAATTGAAGCAGGAACAGGAGTGAGTGGATGAGTGACGGCCGTTATCGAGCTACAGGGGGACTCATTGGAGGAGAACAAGGGAGGGAGAAAAGTTTCTGCATGAAAAAGATTACAGTAAATTTCACACGTATTAGCTTAAGATGTTAGTGACAACATCCTTAAAAGGCATCAGGGGTTTTTTAATCACACCAGGAGGCCGCTCAGCCTCATCACGTCGATTTTTCAAAGGTGTCAAAGTAGGATTTAAACAGTTCCTGGTGGCAGAACAGTCTAATGACAACCTCAGTGGTCATTAATTACCCCAGTCAGACCCATAAAAGCCAGTGATTACAGCAGAAAATGTTTTAATACTTCATGATGATGAATAACCGCTTGAGACTGAAAAAGGACTTAACTAAATTTGCTCAGATACTCTAGATATATATAAATGCCACACTGCACTGTTCAGTGTCTAGGAGTATACGTATCTGTTATTATTATTATGATGTTTGAAGAATCTTATCTTATTGTAGATTAAAGGTACAAATTCTTAAATTCAGCTCAATAAAGTGACCAAAATACTTTAACAATGTTAAATAACTTTTTATTACAAGTTTTCATTGCTTGTAATAAGCACAACTTTTTGTTCTCTAGTTTTAAGGTCTATTACAGTCTTTCAGTGGTTAGATTTCTGATTATATTGAAGAATATTTGTTTCTAAATGAGCTGTTTTTTGCACTGTGAGATGAAGATGGATTATTAAATCACTTAGGGTGCAAAAACCCTATCAAGTATCTTAATGAATTCATTCACAGCTCTTTTTAGTTTTAACTATAGCTTGCACTGATTCTCTGAATAATGCTTATGTGTTTGTTGCTTGGGCTGGAGTACTGGGGGGATTGTTGATCTTGCTTTTGATTTCAATAATCGAAATTTAAAGCTCATTTCGACAGATTTTTGTATTATAATAAATATTAAGCAATAGACAAAAATGCTATTTAAGAAAATAGGAGGTTAATCCCTTTGCAAAGTTTAATAGCTTTTGACTTTGACATCTTTTAAACTATATTTTCCTGCATAATTGAGTAAAAAAAAGGGCGTGTCCAAATTCTCAAGAATGAGTGATTTATGATTCAGCATTTTTTGTTTTGTTCTTTCTTCATACAGAGGTTTGTTTTCCTACTTTTAGCAGTGTAGAGGGAGACTGAGGGATTACCTAATGAGGCGTAGGACCCCGGGGGAAGGGCAGCCGCAGAGCTGAAGGGTGAGGAGGCGGGAACGGTGGACAGGCGTGACTTGGCACTGGAAGCGGCATTGACGTCGATGTCGCTGCGGGAGCGCTGCAGGGAACCCGGTGTGGTGTGCACCCTGCTGCTCACCAGCTTACCTTCAATGGCACAGAAACCAGAAGCAAATAGTCACTTAAGGGCAGTTTATTATATTCATATAAACATTACTGACATCGAGGGATAGAGAGGGACTCACTCCTCGTTATGCTCCCTCCAATGACGCTCTTCACAGACAATGGCCGGCTGAAACAACAAGACACTGGTCAGTACATTATGTACACCAGATTTCCACTGAATGAACATCTTCTACACCACGGACCACCTCAGAAAACATTATTCAAAATACAACTGCATTGGCTGACACACTATGTTTGTATTTAATTACATTTTACTAAAAAACAGGTCAAATATTTTTTTTATTTTTTTATTTATGACTTAATTTTAATACTTTGTTTTCAATAATTGTAGTTTATTGACTTAGATTGTACAGATTTTAGGGATATGAATCAAGATACTCCAAGAAAATGATGTCAAAATAAGCAAAAAGACACCATTTCTATTTCCACTGTTAGCAGACTGAAAACCACAGCTTCCTGTGAGACTGAACAAGATAAAAATCTTAAAAGAAAAAAATGAGCTCAACCCTTCCCACAAACACAGTGATGATCACAACAGCTGCCGCCCTGATGGATTGAGCATGAGGTCATTAGCCAACATGCTCCAATGGGAATCCATAAACTGGGTAAATGATGGCAATCGATCCAGGACTGTGTGTGCGCTCACCCGTCTGCTGCCCGTCTAATAATAATAATAATTACCAGTGTTTTTACAATCATATTCAATAAGATGCATTAGTGGTTTCCGCCAATCAATTACAGCTAATAGATGCAAAAAAAGCTTCCAGAATATAGAAAAAGGCCTCTGGACTATGCAGGAGTATATAACACTACAGGAGGGCATCATGGTTCTTACTTAAGGCTCTCCTGGGAAGACGAGGAGGAGCGGTCGGACTGCGGTAGAGACACGATGCTGTCAGAGCTCTTCAGGTGAGACTGGAGGGCCTTCTGATAGGTGGACTCCAGCGCCTGGAACAGGTGCTCGGCCTCCCGGCTGCAGTGACCGTGGAAACCCCAATAGCACCTGGAGGTGAGGGCGAGGAAGAGAAGAGACAATGCAAACAGGGAATCTCAAGAGTAAAAAAAAAAAAAAAAAGCCTTGTTTCTGGGAAATTAGTCTTATTTTTTGTCTAAAAAGAAAAATAATCTTTTTAAGCATGTTTTACATTAGAAAAGTAATCTCAGATAACACAGCTACAGTAAGTAGTCTTGTTGTTATTTTCAGAGTAAGTTCAGATTTACCTTGCTAACTAACAAGTTATCTAGTTAGTTAATATTTTGCTGTAACAAGCTAGTTAAAGATTGGTGTAGATTAACTTTCTAGTTATCTAGTGTTTTTTTTTTTCTGGAGTAAAACAATAAAATATATCTAACTTTGTCTTAATAATATTACAGCTAATATTAAGTTTGATTTAACCAGGAACAGCAGAGGAACCAGATTATTGTCCTTATTTTAAGAGTAAGTCCACTCACACAACTTCTCTGTTTAAGAGAAAGTTGCCTCGTCCCAGCGTTGGAAATGGAGCAGCTGTTTAGTTTTTCATTGTTTTAATAAAAAATGCTAAATATAAGAATGTTTCTGGAGCTTTAATTTAAGACAAAGTCACATATCTGTATTATGATGTTGGAAGAATCTTATCTTATTGTAGATTAAAAGGTACAAATTCTTAAATTCAGCTCAATAAAGTGACCAAAATACTTTAACAATGTTAAATAACTTTTTATTACAAGTTTTCATTGCTTGTAATAAGCCCAACTTTTTTTTTTTTCTCTAGTTTTAAGATCTATTACAGTCTTTCAGTGGTTAGATTTCTTTGCTCAATCCAAGAAAATCTGATTATATTGAAGAATATTTGCTTCTAAATGAGCTGTTTTTTGCACTGTGAGATGAAGATGGATTATTAAATCTCTTAGGGTGCAAAAACCCTTAAATGACACTTACTTTCTTGCGATGGATCTGGCCTCAGAGTCTGCATCGTGTATGCCTTTCTTGATGGTCTCAGTCAGAACAGCCACATGTCTGGGGTAGTAAGGAAACATGGTGAGCGGTTTAACCCACGACACACGATCACGTCAAAGTAAAACCACAAAGTTTAGACTCCCCCCCAGCCTGTAAGCTTAGACCTCAAACTCTAAACGCAGTCTATCTTTCTTCAGTCTCTCCCAGTTTCATTCCTCCGGTGGTCCACGGGGAATGTGGCCACCCACGGGGCTTTTTCTTGCGCTTTTTAAAGCCTTCGCCGCGGTTGTCATGGTTACGGAGATGGGAAGTCGCCTCATCCCTGGAAGTCTTGATGATGATGGCTCTCTCTCTCTCTCTCTCTCTCTCTCTCAGGACTCATCAATTTAATGGAGGCTCATCAGCGGCGCATCCAGTCAACACACTTAGCGAACTCAAATGTTAGCGAACTCAAAATGCCATCATGTGAGAGAGGAAGAGGAAGAGGAGGAAGAAGAAGAGGCTTTCTTTTTTTTGCAATACCTCCACCACACAGAAACACCTACACAATGCAGCAACTCTAACTTTGTCCTGCCTAGACACACACACACACACACACACAAAATCACACACACACACACACAATCACACACACACACACACACACACACACACACACACACACACACACACACACACACACACACACTTTCCAAGGGTTTTGGTGGTTTTTGGAGGAAACAGAGATTCAGTTTACCTTTCCAGTGTATTGGTGTGCCACTCTTGTAACATGAGGTCTAGGAACTCATAACAGCGCCTAGAAAGGAGATAGAGTTAAGTGATTCTCATGATATAGGACAGTTGTTTCCCAACTAGGGGTTGCCAAAGCTTCACGGGGGGGGGTCGCAAGGCCTTCTTCATTTTAAGGAGTGTAAGAAAACTTAAAAAAATATACACAACAGGCCGATATCTCGGCATTTCTGTGAAGAAAACTAAATGAAATTGTTCTTTTTCTTTAAGTTACAATACTTTAGATGGTCTATATGCTTAAAAATAACAAAATACACAATACAGACATAATTGTATAAAAAGTTACTGAAAATATCAGAAAAACTCATCTGTGATCAATATTGACGGGAAATAATCTGCTCAAAATTCATCCAAATTGATTGTTTTCGCTTGCACAGTTTGGGTTCATTGTACAGTTTATCAGCTGTTCTCTACTGTTATTGTTATGCATTGAATGTAACCCTAACCCTCACCCTCACCCTATCCATCAAATAGTCAGTTTACTCAATGATAGAAAAGGGGTCCCTTGAGGAAGAAGGTTGGGAACCACTGATACTGGATACTTAACATAGGAACAAAAACTATATCTGGAATGAGATATGAAGACCATAAAAGCGAACACTGCTATAAAAGAAACACTTAAGGGGCTTTTTTACACCCTGTGTGGTAACTTAGTTACTTCAATGAGGGGAAGTCAGCAGCATTATAAATAATAAATAATTAATGTGTGAAATACACAAAATGTGACACGTAATATCAGTTATCAGCCATATAAAAGAAAACCACAACCTGCCTGTGTTTGAGGCGACAACTTAAAATACAGAACTGCTTCTTAAACTTGTATTTATATTATATACTATAATAACTGTTAAAAAATATCTGAACAGACTATTTTGATGTGTTAGCAGAGTTTAGGTCCTCTTACCGTCTGACTGCTACTGATTTGGAGGTGCAGTTACTGGTGATGATGGGGATGAGACGTGGGTAGTGTGTGTGCTGGAAGAGAGAGAGACAGTAAACACAGCGGAGTCAAAAAAAGAAAGCTTTCTTTATTCCTTTTATCTTCTCATTCTCACATGATGATGCTTTGGTGCTCAGGTGGGATGTATGACAGCACATCTCAGGGAAGGACTACGTTCACACTGCAGGCAAAAGTGGCTCAAACCAGCCCACAAGTGACCTTCATACTCTTTTGTATGAGCCGCCATTGCTTCACAAAAAGCGACCATTAAAAATGTGTCTAGACGTTCAGGAATGCGACTAGTTCACACTGGAACATTTAAAAGTTAATGCGAACACACAAACTAATCAGAAATAAGCGTAGAGGCTTGCAGTGCGATCGCAGCAGCTCTCCTCGATGTCCTTACCCTGAGGATGAGGCGGATGGCGGCCATTCCGGACGTGGCCATGACTTTGGCACTGTTGGGCACGAGGTTCAGCAGAGTGGGCATGATGCTCTCCGCTCCGTGGTCAAACTTGTTCCCCAGCAATGATGACAAATGTCTGTTCAAGAAAACAAGAGTAAACCGCATCAGACCGACAGCTCCAGTATTCAAGTTGATTTTACTTTCTGCATTTTAACTGAGGGGTCATTCTCTCAAAGAGCTTATATGTGAGATTATTAAGAACTGTTTGAAAGAGAAAAACTGACAGACAGAAGAAAGGGAAATATTTGACACTATAGATACTATAAATATCTCTAAACTTTTAAAGAAACTTTAAACCAAATGTTGTTGTGTTCTGGACTGAAAGGCGAGCTGCTACAAGTGATGACAGGATCCACGTAGCTGCCGTCTATTCATCAACCCACTGCTCTTTCAGTGCGTCCCCGCTCTGTTCCACCTCATCAGGGTTGGATTAAAATTGGGATGACGGATGGATGTTTTTTGGGGGGTGCGAGTGGGGAGCACGCTGCTTGTTTCATACCCGAGCGAGGCTCACGTTCATCAGCTTAAGCGGGTTATTTTCCTGCCGTAACCTAATCAGTCTGAGTTAATGTCACTGCTGCCAATCAGAGCCATTAACATCATCCTGGCAAGCTTCTCCGATTAAAAGACAAATGATTGGCACTTTATTAGCTTTTTTCACAGTATTAACCTGAATATTAGGCTCTTGTTTCTCACACAATCTGACAATATTGTCTAATAACTGCCCTACTGACTATGAAAAGTTATTGTCAGTATTAACATTAACATACATCTCTATTGTGGCCTCACTTTATGACTGAGGCTGGAAATACGCTGTGTTATGACTGTACTTCTTTGTATGGGAAGCTCCTGTGAAGTGGTACTTTACTGTACTCAGTGCGGGGACAGTACATCCTCCTCAACTCCGGCTCTTACCCCAGCGTGATGCAGGCCTCGCGGACCACCTGTGAGCGCAGGTCTTTAGCCGACAGCTTTAAGGGAGCCTCCAGGAGCCGCAGCTGCTGAGGAAAACCCTCGTACTCAGCTGCCCCGGCCAGCATGACAGAACGGACCTTCTTCAGCTGGAGAGGAACGACACAGAGGAGACATAAATGGGTATTTCATCTCTGAAAGAATCCACTTCCACTCTGTGTGTGTTGTGCGTTTGAGTCTTACCGCCACCACTCGGTGCTCCCAGTCATGTTTGTCATCAGACAACACCTCTCTGATCTTGGCCAGCTGGTCCTCAAACTCTCTGTTGGAGTAGATCTGGACGCAGAGATAATGTTAGCGTTATTTGCATACACTTTAAAGGTTGAGACTGGAGAGAGGCCAGCTGGTAACAAGGTGTTAGTCTGTAAACTCTCTAAACTGCACAAATGTGTTGTCAGCTTCTCATGTTAACATCACAAGTGCCACCTGTGCACGTGCAATCATTAGCATCAATTAACACCCAACAATTGCTGTCACAGCGAGGAGCCTGAAGTCCTGTTGCTGGAAATCAGCAGATAACAATGTAAGATAATAAGTAGAGTCAGTAGTTATTAACCAACAGGAAGTCTGACGGAGCCTAAACGGAAAGGATTGATGCCAAAAATGTCTTAAATGTTAAATGGGAGATGATGGAGATGAGATAGATCTGGAAATAAGAAGAAAGCTGTTTGTCCGACTGGTTTCAATCCACCATCTGACCCCTGCCTTTACTGTTCTCTCTCTCTCTGCTTACCTGCACCGAGGGCACGTCTTCAAAGGCTTTAATGAAATCCTCTTCATCAACAGCACCGGCGCCTGCATCTTTACCTTTAAAGTAACATATACGCACAAAGTATTTTAGGTTTTGTCACTGAGTTTCAACAACAGGCATAGGTTAAGAGCTCAGGACACTATAACACATGTACAGGAGACGCAGTAATGGCGGTACTTTCCCTGGATGTGTTACAGCTGTGTGTGTGGACTGCCTCACCTGTGGCCTTAGCTGTGGTGGCTGAGCTGGGTCTCCTCACAGAGCTCACTACGGTCCTCCTGCCACCGGGGGGCGCTTTGGATGATGAAGAGGAGGAGGACCGGCCTCCGTCCACAGAGTCTTCATCCTCAAAGTTCTTATCTACAACAACAAAGGCAGGGAAAAAAAAGAAGAAGAGGAGAATACATCAAACGGCTCGATGACTGCGCGAGGGATATTTCCCGTAAGCATCAATAAATCATTATTAACTCATCATTCAGAGGTTTTCTAACACTGCCTGTTTAGTGTTAAGGTTGAAATGCATCATCGCTCTCTTCTCAACAATCGTCCCTGAGTCATCTCTGCATTGTATGACCTCTGCCTGCCTCAATGGAGAGTGCAACGCAGTCAATCTGTCAGGTCGTGTGCATGTATCCATTCAACCTTTATCTATCCGTCCATCTGACTTTAATCTGGTTTGGCAGCCACGCGCGGATACACGGCCCCCTGTCACCTGCCCAACGTGACCATTCACACAAGGGATTAGCCCCCCGGAGGGGCAGATATGATGACGGTTCTGGGTGGCTGCCGTCAGCTGAGGCACAACGGGGATGTTTGGTCTGTTTTTGAAGAACGTGTGGAGAAATTATTTAAAAACAATTCCTCGATGGGATCGTCAGAAAGAATGTGTTTCCGTAGGTTAGGGACGAAGCCTGCGCCTCTTTAGCTGCTCTCATCGGTGGAGACGTATTAACTGACAGAACAGGGGAGAAAATAAATCACAGAACGACGATCAGCTGCGAGGAGTAACACGACCATGACACTGCATCTCTCACGGAGAGGCAGGAACACAGAAACAAAGTGGAGGACAGGAACAAAAGGCAACAGGTTGAGAGAGGGAAGAGAAAGCCAGAGGACGAGGAGCAACCACAGGAAGAGAAAGATAGAAAGAGAGCAGAGAGAGGGAAACAACGAGGAGAGATAAAAGGCATCAGTCTTACGAGCGCAGATTTTCTTGCACACCAGCTTCCTCAGCATGTCTCTGCTGCACCCTCTAACGCACTCTCTCTTTCTCGCCGGGCATCTCCGTCCACCCGATGTGTGTGTGTGTGTGTGTTGTGTGTGTGTGTGTGTGTGTGTGCCGCTGCTGCACGCTGAGCTCTGACAAAGTGCCAGACTAACCACCCCTCTATGAGTTCAGCTGTCTGTGTGTGTGTGTGTGTGTGTGTGTGTGTGTCACCATCGCTGCCGAGGCTCTCGTGGTGAAAAGAGGGAGGGGTCTATTGTTGTGAGATCTCCTTAACACCATCAACAACAGCAACAGCACAAACAGAATATCACTGCTGGGATTTAAACACATATCGACACAGTATCTATGTGGAAAGGGAAACATTATATGTTTGTTTTTAAAGCAGTGGTCCTCATCTCTTTCTATCATTTAATAAACTGACTCAGTCACATAGTTTATGTTTATTTCATATTATATTTAAAACTGTACAATGAACCCAAACAGGGAACTGATCTGAATGAATTCTGAGCAGATTATTTCCTGTTTAGGGAACTTTTTATACAATTCTCTGTCAGTATTATGTATTTTCAATCATTTATAACAATCATACAGACTTAATAGGCTTATTTTGTGACAAATTCAGCGTTTCCTTGTCCCTTGTTCTATTAGACAATTTACCTGATTTACTATTCTTCACAGAACCAAATGCGGAGATATCGACCTTCCTATATTACAACCCCCAGGTTGCCTTAGAGACCTGCTCTTTACATTCATTAGGACCAGTGTTTGAATTGAATTACAGCCCTGCACTTGTTCTAAAAGAAGAAAACATCAAGAACTAAAGCTCAGAAAAACATAAAAGCTACGAGGCTTGGACCCCTTTAACGCCCACGCAGGTGTTTTCCATCCCTCGGGGTCATTATGCTTCCAGTCAGGTGGAGCAATGCTGAGAATAAAATGATGTCATCAAACTACGCACTAATAATGATCTCCAAAAACCCCCGACAGGAACAGAGCTGGTTGGGTGTGGTTTCAAGCTGAATGAATCAGTGGCTCTTTAAAAAAAGATTACCACGTGTACCAAAAGCATTATAAACAATACGCACTAATAAATACAGATCATATGTCCCTAAAGTGTTATAGTGTTAGTGTTTGAATTCAGATGTGAAGCTCTTAAAGCTTCAGTGTGTAACATTTAGAAGGCTCTATTTGCAGGAATATAATATCCATAGGTATGTTTTCAGGCCACAATGTTTCTACAGTAGAAGGGACAAACCAAACACTGACTCTAGATAGGGGCGTTCGCGTTGTTCACATGTTTTTGAGGCCACAGTAGTTTCTAATTCACACTTGGATAGGGGAGTGTGAAGCGAGGGAGTTGTGATCTGCAACAAGATGTCACGATATTCTACACACTGGACCTTTAAAAACTATAAAAAGATCAAATTTAACTACTGAATGTCTACATACCTGCCACCTCATTAACCCTTACAGTTCATTAAAGCAGGTTTCCTCGCCCTCGCTAATAGTTTATGCTTCAACTGTACATTGTACCACTCAGGTCCTTTTTTTTTTCAACTAGAAACGCACCCTGAAGGAGTCGGAAGAACCTCACCGACCCTGACCTTACCATCCAAGATGGCTGCTCTGGGTGCATCAACAACAGCAGCAGCATAGACGTCACCCGTAGGTGGAACCTGGGTAGAGCTTAGACGGGCTGAATGAAGCCTGGCTACTGAAGCAGCCACATCCTTAGTTATGCATAAATTAAGCCTTAATAGGATTTCAAGCCCCAGTGGAACCAATGTTTTACCAGAAAACACCTAAACGCTGACTCTACCAACTGCCTTGCATTTCATTTAAGGAAAGCTACAACATAGAGGCCTAAACTCCTAAAGATATATGAGCTCATCCTTCCTGATCTCTACATAAAGGCTAATAGCTTGAGCACCTCACCATAAAGCACAGCGTCCTGCCACGCTCACAGGAGTATTGATTAGAGCTGTCAGAGGGGCCGTTCTCACCGACGCTGACACAAATGTCGAGGTGATTTATCTGTGTGTCGGGGGAGCAATCGGAGCCCCTGCAACATGCAATGAGCTACTCTAACACAGACGTACAGGAAACAGTCACTGCACGCACACTGCGCCGAAGGTAGCCGTGATCCCACCGGCCTCCTGACGTCACCTTCCTGCAAAGCTTTAATCGCTGATAACTGCTCAGGGTTTGTGTGAAGTCAGCAGCTTATTGTGTGAAGTCAGTGGCTCTGTGGACACCCACTGACAGGGCAAGAGAAAGGACAGAGAGGATCTCAGCAACAGCATCAATATTCTATGATGCTGAGTCTTTTTTATATACAGTTACACACTTGGGAGAAGCAGGAAACGAGCAAAGTCTACTGTTGGACTTTATTTATTTAACCTTTAACCTATTTAAAAAGGGAAGTCTCTTCATTCATTATCTCTTTTTACAAGAGAGAACTCGTCAAAATATTAGAGGCGTTAAAATATCGTATTATTTGGGGATATTGTATCAATTCTCACAAACACTGCATTGATATTTTGTATATATTGATTGGTAACCCTTTTATCGTGATACATATCATTTCGCCCAATTCTTCTAAATCGAACATCTAGAAAATATCCTCCTAAATGATATACACTGAACCTTTAACAAAAGTGTTCAGATGTTTAAGGGTCGTACGGAAATTATCAGGACGGATAAATTATCGGCTGATAATGGAACATTTTATTAAATTACAGGCGATAAATTAATGAATAATATTTTATATTGAATTCTTATGGAAAACTATTAATAGGTTTGTACTATAATAGAAAATATGAATCAACATTTGAAGAGTCAGGACTGTTGTTGTGTGAACGATATGTCAGGTAGATTTGGTTGCTCACTACATCTTAACCTTTTTACTCTCAGGTGTGTAAAAACAACAAGTTAGGAACTCGTTTTTTAAACTACAAAAATGTGAAATTATTATCTTATCGGTATCGTGCAAGAGAAGCAGGAAATTATCTGTAATTGTATCGGCTGGAAAAACAACAACCATGTGGTGCATCCCCGAAATGTACAAAGGCTGCGGCTCAGATAGTAGAGCGGGTCGTCTAGTGAGCGGAGGGTTCGATTCCCAGCTCCCGCAAACCAACTGAAGTGTCCTTGGGCAAGATACCGAACCCAGAGTTGCTCCCGACGGCTGTGCCTTGCAAAAATTTTATTTATTGTTGCTCATATGTGTTGTTCCAGTTTGTATGTGAAGCACTTTGGGTTGCATGTGTGTATGAAAGGTGCTGTATTAATAAAGTTGAGTTATCTACCTATAAAGTCTAAAGAAATCCTCCTTTCCTACAGAAATAACAAAAGCGTTCTGCTTAACATGGGGGGAGGTGAAACATTGAGAATCCATCCAGAATTTAATATAAATATAACTTAGAATGAGTTCATTATTTTGTTTAAAAGGTTCCAGCCAGAGTACAGATATATATCAGTGTTATTTAACCATTAAACACACACACACACACAAACACACAAACACACACACACACACACACACACACACACACACACACACACACACACACACACATAAAGTCTATGTTCTGATGTGTTTGAGGGATGAAGGATGTGCTACCGTACATGTCCACTAGGTGTCACTGTGAGCTGCAAACACACTGAAGGAAGAGTTGCTGAAGCTGCAGTGGCATCAGCAGAGTCACCAGTAATCTCTGAACCACAGATTTACATAATGGGGAGGATTTTCTCTCCCCTCACCCTCACCCTCACTGCACTCTTTAGAAACAGAATAAAAACCCAAAATGAGGGATTAAGAGAAAGTTCTGGAAAGTTCTTAAATGAATAATGTTGTGCAGTGAAAGAGGACGGGGGTGTCTCTCATTTATTACCACCCTTTTTTGACCTCTTCTGTCCACCTAATCATCACCCATTATCTTTTCTTTTGCTCTGTCTCAGTCCTCCTGTCCCCCTTCCTGGTTCTCTTCAGTACTGATGCAGTTTTTCCCCGGGCTCCGGGTCCATGTCCAGCACACAGGCCGTGGTTTTAGCCAGCGGCCTGAGGGGTTACATAAGAGACAGATGACTGGTGATCAGTGTTATGTCACAACAAAGATGTCTTGTTTTGCTG